TTCACCATTGTCAAGCTCGTTAATAGCGGTGGAAGGATACGAAGCACAACCCATTCAGTGACTACAGGACTTTGCTCCTTATGAATGTGGCGTGAGCACTCTAAGTATCCGCAGATTCAAGACACTCTGACAACTCCTCACTGTATCTAAAATCGATTAAAACTGCTCCAGAAACCTGTCATTTGCTATACCCACCCTCCAAACATTTACAGATTCAGATTCGAATCTTTCCATGTCTTACTCCACCGATTTAATAAAAAGATAATCTCGATCCACCAACAAATCTAACCCAAAAGAACGTTCGAAGTCTTATACTTACACTTTCTAGGCTGCACGCACCGAAAATAGAGCGAAAGCACAGAAATAGATCATGTCGCACCTCGAGACTCAGATCTCAAACTAAAACTCAGCACAAATTTTTACAATATCTAATCTGAGTCCCTGGACACTTCATCCAGCGCAGTAGATAAGTGAATCAAATCCTGCACATCTCAAAACTTTAATCTATATAAAAGAATAAAATAAATAGAAAGAAAAAGAAGAGATAATGAATCGGAAATTAAAGTATAACTAATCATAATTAACTAATTACTTATAAATGAAGATAATTATAACGAACAAACATTATATAATAAACTCTAGATCTAAGAAAAGAAACCGTACTTTAACTAATAGAAATCAAGAACAATCAATTTGCAAGCCAAAGCTTAAGTTGAATGTAAGTCTTATTTGAAGATAAATATGTAACGTCCATTCGTATTCTCTCAAAAAAGCTTCTTTCTACAGAAATGAGAAAAATGGAACAAAAACATCATTTCTTGACTGCAAATGCTACAGACGCGGGAGTGATAGCCATTAATTACGACCGTAACAGACTGTACATATATACAAAATCAAAGCATTAGAAAACAATCAACACATGCAATATGAATTCTACTAACACTCGCTATATGCCCAGAAAGCAAATGGATTGAGTAGCATCTCAAAATCATCACCGCACTCCCAAACCATCGCTTCCGTTCCCTCTCCTAGAATTAGGCTCGGGTAAATCGCTTATGAAAAATCCAACTCCATTAGTAGAGAATAGGACTCTATGCTTCCAGCATACCAAACGCCTTATCATAATAACCTTGTATATTTTGATATCAACCTTGTACGCCTCGGAAAACAAAACACGGCATCCACTAAATATAGTAATTATCATGCCATTGACCCTCGAGGTAATCCGGTAACAGGACGTTGTCTCTTCCTTTGCATTCTTCTCAGTTTAATTTGCATACTATTCACATCATATTGCTTTTTCTTAGGATCCCAAGCTGCGATGACATCAAAAACGAGGAAAGCCTGGTCGGATTCCAACTCGATAAGTCCGGAGACTGTGATGGAGCCTCTCGGATGAATATTTGTAGTAGGTCGCAACCTTTTGCTAATCTGGACGTATTTTATTTTAGCTGCCATGATGGGTTTTGCGACGAATGATGTGTGGATATCCTTGAAACTGTTTACGAGTGCGGGCAGAATATCTTCTCTCACATTTGGCTTTCCTGGTGCGGCTGCCACTTCTTTACTTTTGTCACCCAAAGGCTGTTGTGGTGGCCCATCCTTAGCAGTAAATGGTCGTTGGACATCCCCGGGTACTTTTTGTTGACCATTCAACTCCTTCATCATTTTTTGTGACCGAGCAAGCATTTGATCCAAAGTTTGTTCAGAAGGACCTTTCTCAAATTCTACACCAAATACTCTTGCCATACTTCTGAATTCTTCGGCGGCCAATACCTTTAGGAACATCCATGAAGATTGGAAAAGGGCTGTTGGCCATAGAACATTCCGTATTTTGTATACAATTGTGGCATCGACAGGCTGAGTGACCCAGGAAATTGCATCATCGGAGATTTCGATTCTGAAATATATTAGTCTTATTTCTTGTGGTTCATATGGTAATTAACCTACCCTGATCTCTCAAATGACGGTGGTGGAAGTTGAGGAAAATCAATATCAAGCCAAAATCTTCTGGTTTTAAATTGCTTCCCAGCGATTTGCACGATTAGCGGCGTATTAGGAACAGAATCTCGCAAGAACTCTGTCAAGTCAACTGAAGAATGTTAATGAATATCACAAAAGGTTCATGTGTTGCGCAGTAAACGAACCTCTGATTTTGTTTAGAAGCTTTGGGTCTTTGCTAATCTTAATGAATTCTTGATACTCTGGATCGGTTCCTTTATAAGGAATAATAGGGAGCTCTTTCGTGGTACCGGGGAATGGTATAAACAATGGTTGTTCTGCCTCTTGAAACTCGTCATCTGGTATATCTTTTGATGCCTCTTCAGCAGCTTTGTCTAAAGGACCAAGGACTAGTCGAGTATAAACCTCAAAGCACACAACTGCCACGATAACATTGATGGCGATGTTTCTATGTAATATCAGCACACATTCTTCCAGCAGATATAGCAGATACGTACCTTGCTCTAACAGGTGCTTTCCTGAAACGAACCTTATGCGTATTGGATATCGTTCCCGCATACCTCTGCGCATTCAAGCGCATAGATAATGGACTCGTAGAGAATATATGAGGTGCTGGCCTCGTGCGTACATTCGCTGCCCACACACTCGGCGCCCGCGGTTTAATAAATCGAAACATCGTGAGGAGTGGTGAATCAAGGCCCGCCTTCGAGCTGGCGAGCCCTTGATGGAGGATTTCTGTGGCGAAATTGGTAGATTGTTAGGTGTTGCAAATACGATATTGATGGATCTCTGTTGGCAGATCTTTGCCAATGCTCCAATAATATTCGTTGAGGGTTAGAGATGAAGCGGTTTGGTAGTCAAAGTACAAGAGCGAGAGATAAAAATGAGGTAGTTCTGGTAGTTATGATGGTTAATCCAAAAATATCTGTCGGTCTTGGTACTAATTTATCTCCGAATAAAGCAAATATACACAAGGAAACCCTTTGATGGCAAATTTACCCAAAATCTGGTGAATAATGTGATAATTGCTGTAATATGTCTTATGTAATGCCAAAAAATAAATACATTTAATGATCTCTTAAAATATTAATTAATTTCAAGAGTTCCCCGAAAATATAACAATGTTCAAGATAATCTTCAAATCTGGGAACTGGAAGGCTTTGAATGATGTTGCCCAAATGCTCTCTCCCAGTGTCTCTGTTTGAAAGCGGTTAGCGCCTAATCTGTGCTTAGCTTGGTACCACATCTTGAGGTTAGAGGTTATCAACTTTCAAGAACGTCACTTGAGTATGAGCTTCTCAATCCACATCAACAAATTTCATCAATAAATATGAAGCTGACTTCAAGCTTCCTTTTGCCATTACTGGCCAGTACAGCTTGTGCCGCATCAGATTCCGCCCGTGCTTATATCTTCGAAAGCCAACAATGGCCAAATAACGCAGCATCACCTCCATCTCTTTCCCCCAATGAAGCACGACTCGTCCTCGCACAACGATTAGGTGTATCACGATTCCATGATGTTGGATCGGTTGATGCTAATGCCATTAACCATATCAACAAGTTTGGAGGACAATCACAACTGAAATCCTTGTTCAAGGATGCGCCAAAGGATAGGGCCGCTGAGTTGGTTATGATCGTTGAGGGCGTATCAGAAGAGACGGCTGGGTCACTATTAGATGCTTGGTCTTCTATCAAACCGGCATTCACAATCTCAAATCCGCCTTCAGTTAGGACGACTCAAAAGTTAGCAGATGATTTGGAGCTTCAGGTTGGTGGAGCAAAGAAATGCACACTTGACGATGCTATCAATCCATTCGCAGACAAATGTTGGAATGGAAAATCGAAGATCATGCACATTGACTTGAATAGGCAATCAAAGGTATGGCTAATGCGCTATTCATACAGAGACTGTCTGGCTAATATTGGGTAGGATAAGGATTTCATCAATACATCCTTCGAACGATTAACCAAATTCGCCTCTAAAGCAGAAATGAATGTACTCGTCATTCTTATGCCTGATTCCCGCAGAGGCAGTGGCTCTTATGGCTCTTACGTTCGACCTTCGCAAAAGAAGCTCTCCAGCAGACAACAATTCGAAGAGCCGATGTCCGAGTTTGTCGGCCATCAAGTACAGGAAGCACCCAGTTCCAATTCTTCCTATAAGAACAATACTGTCATAAAGACAACGCTTCCTGTCTGCCACGCTTCTTTGGATTCCTGTACCTCATCTACAAACAACTGCTCATCAATGGGTGCTTGCTACAAAAAATACACGTCCCAATCCGGTGACTGTTTTGCCTGTAGATGTGATGCCGATTCCGGGCGTGGAGGATCTGCTTGTCAAAAAAGAGATATCAGTGGTCCTTTCTGGTTGATCTTCATCTCCAGTTTCGTTCTAGTCGGGCTTGTTTCTTGGGGGATTAGCATGTTGTATAGCATTGGTGATGAAAAATTACCGGGTGTTATTGGTGCTGGTGTTTCTTCCAACAAAGCAAGATAATAATTTATGAATTCTAGAATATATGTACGCTAGGGTTGAAGACTGGAATTTGAGGGCTTGCATTTGGTCATGGTTGGCGTTTACACGAAGAAGGGAGAGATGAAGAAACCTGTATTAGTTTGTTTGGGCTGTATAGTGGCCGGTGTACAGACATGGGTTTGCCACTTATTTATAGCAATGAAATTTTATTAGAATCCATAAACTTTCGCGACGGAGGAACGGTTGAGTTCATGGTTTATATCACCAAGGGCTTTCACATATGTATCTGCACATTTTCAACCAAGTGGTGGAATTCTTCTAATCTTTACCATCTTTTTAACTTCCTTTCCTCTTTAACTGCCATTCATCTTTCTTCACCTTCCCACATTACTACTTGCTCCCTTACATTGTCTATCCATCTATCTCATACCAATTTCAATTTCTTTACGGATCTCGAAAAATTTACTGGCCACTAGTTCTACATATCTTAAAATCCCTGCGATGTTGAAACGTCAACTCATTGTGGACTTATTATATACTAGGGTACGGATTATAGATAGGTGATACGACTAGAGCAGATAGGGCTTTTCTCCGGGTTTGTCGACTTTTGTGAGTATAATTATAGGGAAGTTGGGTGGAAGTTAATCGCTTGGGTATATAGTAATGGCATTGGAAGTGTCTGGTCGGTGGACTATATGTATCTGCATGCATGTTTTATGATGTGAAGATTCTTGGGATATGTTATTGAGTAATGCTCACACAGGATGGGGGGATTTCTGGGCATCTAGGTATTGAAAAGAACACTGTTTATTCTGATTGTTGGTTTTTATTTCTTCGGTCGCTGTTTATTTGTTTACTATCGTTATTTCACTCTTATACTCGACCTAAAAGAAAGCTCAGTATAATCCCCAATGGTTCAGATCTGTCTAGTGACATCTACTGAAATTAACCGGACTTAATCGGACAACTCCTGCCATGTGAGTTATATGAAAATGTAACCTTCAATACTAGCTTACTGAAAGATGATGTGGAATGCTCGGCATTTATATAGTAATAAGGCTTAGCTTAACTAGCTAATACCTTAATGTGGTTTGTAGCTAAGATTTTTCTAGTTTAAATATAGATATATTCTTCCGAAGTGGAACGAGTCTAGTGATAGTCCGATATAGCTGTATAAATTCCCGGGTCTTGATGCTCAAGGCAAGAGATGAGGAGTAAGTATGCAAATTTCGTATCTCGTTCAGGCGGGCTTGGTTCCCTAGTATTAGTTTTCACTTCCCCCATTCAAACATTAGAAGATTGAGGCTTTCAATCTCCCCAACCTGTATTAGCTACGGTCGAATAAGGCCAGCCACCCTCCATTTACTATTGTTAGAAGCCTACAAAGCTCCTAGCCGTCTTAGATAGTCATAGACTCAGTGTAGACGTTAATTTAATCAATCAATCAATCAATCAATCAATCAATCAATCAATCAATCAATCAATCAATCAATCGTATCTCGTTCGTTGTATAAAGAGGATTTGCGCGACCTATAAGCATAAGTAAATATCGAGATGTTGGTACGTTATGAATCATATTACAGGAAAAGCATATTAGTTCTCAAGTCTATTCTGTATTCTTATTTTTTGTGGCATGGAGAATGTGAAGGAATTGTGGTCTTGTATGTTGTCGAATCGTATTAGTATGATAAAGAGGATTAATGACAATACTGATTTATGGTGCGATGATAATACGCCAGGTGATTCGCTAGATGACAATGATGCATTCATTCATGGTTAATGGTGTAAATGAGATTTAATTTTTACTTCCCTTTTGTCGTACACATACGAGTAAGTATCTCTTCATACTTGTAGTAATAACATCTTATTAGTAAGATAAGATCTTACCTAGAACGTGATTTGTAAAGTATGAGAGTTAGGAAATTGTGGGTATGTATGGAGTTAGGTAGACATGGTTAAAGTCAAGTGGAGCTTCTATAGAGGAATTTCGTATGCACAGTGTGAATAAGATGTCTTATTTTGCGGCGGCGGGTCGAGATGTAGGGTTATAAAGGTATTGGTTTGCTTGTTATTTTGATTTTTGTCATAGATTATTGGGAATTCAACAGCTCTGTTTCTATTAATTAGGAACCTCTCAAAATAAGAATTTACCCATCTCCAAAAAAACCCTATAAAAACACTCCTTCTACTTCCTCCTCCTTCTATTCTCTGCATCACCTTGATACATTAAGAGTAATAGACAAACATGGCACCGCGTCTTCCTATACTAGTTTTCTAATACAATTCTTACTTCCTAGTATACTCCTTCAAGATATCGTTTCTATACCGTAACTTCATTCTTGAAATACTATAGTTGCTATTCTAACTTTTCTCTCTATTATCAATTTGTTATTATCATTACCATTCGTTTTCATCACAAACTCAACTTCTACATGATCTTTGTAAATTCTCTATATCCTCGACAGACATTCAATTCGCAAATATAATTGTTGATTTCCAATGGTCAATTTCGTAGGGAACCCCATATCTACGAAGGGAAAAGGTAACAACTTAGATATACAATTACTACATTGATGTTAGTCACAAAACGAGATTATATATACCAGGTACAAAGTTTGAATGGTTCCATCTCAAATCAGTCTTTACAGTCATCATATCAGTTTAGCTGTCAGGTAGATGCATGGCAGGAAAGATATATTTTTTAATAGTGTTATAAAAGGTTTGAGATTATACAAGTGTATACAAGTGTATAATTATAAGTTCGATGTCACACAAAAGCCTAAATCAAGAGCGTCAAGATTCAAAACAAGTGAGTCTGTTATAAGGAGCTAATTAAGAGGAAGAAACTAAGCGAAGTAGACATTGCGGATTGGGAAAGAGAGCTTTTACACCCTAGCACAAAACTTCAGACACACTCACTCGCTCACTCACTCATCATCTCCATTATGATGGTAATATTGCGCTAGATATGGAAGAATCTTCCTCGAAGCAGAAAAGCTGTATTAAATACCAATCACTCTCTAGGGTAGTAGAATGAGGTGGATAGATAACAAGGACAGATACAAAGTTTATACTCCTAGTTAGAATTTGTAAAAGAGTCATTACGTGGTAGCTAAAATTTCCGTGATATTGCTGAAGTGTTGTAGTGTAGTTTCTAGTAAAAGGAGATTGTAATTATGCGTTCAATCGGCATCTAAATAATTTTTTTATTCCACCCCAGCCCTTGACTCTCGTACTACACCGTGACAACATCTTTTTCTCGAATATAAAAACTTTTCCTATTAACAACATTATCTTGTCATCATATATTATCACAATCTTACAACTTCCAAATATTTAAAACTGTTGAAATTAAGGTCATTATGGGCCTAGAATTGAGGTCATATGACCATTATGGTGCACGGACCATAATTGGGAATATCTTCAATTCTACCATTACTGTAACTTAGATCCTTAGTTTAACCTACATCTAATAATACTACTACTTCCAAACAACTCAGTTTGAAAAGGTTATGAGCCCGGTTGCACAGTAGTGATTAGAAGGCAGAGCAGATCGAGTAAGGATCGGCACAGCTGGTAGGGGTGAAACAGAGTGAAGATCAGAGTCTTCACACAGTATCACCAAGGCAGAGTTGAACGACAACATAGCCTATAATTCAAAAACACAAAGCGAAAGACCACCCCACAATCAACAAATACAACGACCTCTAAGATGTCGGATTCGACCAACCCATCGAAGCTCGACCAGAGCAACCACGAACGATGGTTTAGACAAACAGGAATACAATTAAGAGGAAAGGGATGGTATTACACAATTGAAAGAACATTAGATGAATATGCAACAGTTGCAGGACCCACGACAGCAACTGATGATGCAACTGCGCCCCGTCGATGCTACAATATCGAATTGAAATCAGAATACTTGAAAGACGAAGCAAATGCACTATCGTACATCTGTACAACACTCAACGACGATGACGAGGCACTCATCGATGAATACCCGACAGCATATGCACTCTGGGCATACCTTAAATCGAAATACACTAGAGTTAGTGCGGTTACAGCAAATACATACATGACCATGATCCAGAACTTCAGATTCCAGCCCGATACCCATCTGGAAATGACCATCATACAAGCATGGGACAAATTGAAAGAGTACAGAAGGAAGCTAGGAGCCGCTGACGAAAGCTATCGATCAGCATACCAAGATACTGCCTTATTCTTGGTGCTAGCCCGTAGCCTTCCAGCCGATTATCAAGGAGTGATTGATGTATTGGATATACAAACCAACCTCAGCATCGATGATAAGATCAAGCATCTACAAGCAAAGGAATTACGCTTGGCAGACAATCCCGAGCAAGCTCAGATTGCAAGTAGATCTAGGTACACCCCCGAAAACCGAAAATCAGATATCGAGGCCCCAAACAAGATATGTTACCTTTGCAAGAAGGAAGGCCACTATATACTGAACTGTTCACATTTGGAGAGAGCAAGCAAACTCCTTTGTAGCTACCTCCGACATCATAAAAGAAAGAGATCAACGAAACCAAGAAAAGTCCACTTTAACAAGCGAGATGATGCATACCCCGTTGATGATGACTCTGAATCAGACTCCGATACTGAGGATATGATAGAAGAAGATTGTAATTTGACAAAAGAAACCATCAGTAAAGCTTCCCCTAGTAAATGGTATGCCGACACAGGCGCTTCCTCACATATGTCTGACCAATCTTCATTATTCAGGACAATAGAACCGATTGCCAGGCGAAGAATAAAGGTTGGTGGGGGAGTGATGTATTGCTGTCATTGGGGAACAGTGGATATGATATGCGAGGATGGTTCTAAGATGTTGCTCTCAAACGTTTTATATGTGCCAGGGCTGGGAGTGAATTTACTATCGGGAAAGAAAATCTGCGAGAGAGGATTGCGAGGAGAATTCAACTCTTGTTATATGTATTTCAAAAAGGAGAATAAGAAAATCATTTGTGCTAGGATACAAGATGGAATGTACGTGGTCTCGCATGTATCAAAGGATTACGAAGAAACAGCCCTTTATTCGAATATGGATGGAAGTGATCAAGAGAAAGGTTTATCCTCGGAGATAATCGATGGTACCAAAGGCATTGATGAAGAACTAACACTCAAGGAGAAAGAAAGGTATCTGCTATGGCATCGAAGATTCAACCATTTAGGACCAGACAAGATCAGGAGTCTGCACAAAGTATCCAATATAGGAAAGCCAATAAAGGTTCCCACTATATTAGATATCTGCGAAGTGTGCATACTCACCAAGATGACAAACCGTATCCCTAAACAATTGAGTATCCATAAGTCGAAGAGGCTCGAACTCATACATTTCGATATTGCAGGACCATTTCCAAAATCAATTAGAGGAAACCGGTACTTTATACTGATCATTGATAGCTATACAAGAGTGAACTGGATTATTCCACTTAAGTATAAAGACGAGGCTATTCCAACAATGAAAGAATGGAAGAAAGAGATAGAGTTGGCTTCTGGGGAAAAGATAATTGCGGCTAGAACTGATAATGCACCAGAACTCCTGCAAGCTATTCGCGAATGGTCATCAGGCGCACGCTCGGAAACTACGACGATCGCTTCCTCACATCAAAACGGACCTGCTGAACGGAATATAAGGACAGCAGAAGCAGATATGAGAGCGATGCTCAAAGAAGCCAGTTTACCATTGGAATTCTGGGATGAAGCTGTTGAACACGACGCCTATATTCGAAATCGAACCAATAGCGGCCCCGATGCAAACGGAATAGACCGATCTCCTACCGAAGCGTTCACAGGTACGATCCCTGATCTAGGGATGTGCAAGGTCTGGGGGAGCAAGTGTTATGCCTACATAAATCCTAAGACAATTCCGAAAGGGCAAAGGCATGATAAGTTAAGAGACACTTCAAGAGCAGGCGTATTCCTGGGATATTCGAAAACCACGAACAGACATGTCAAAGTGTATTCGCCAGAATTAGGATATACATTCAGATCAAGTAGAGTTGTTATCGACGAATCCTGTAAAGGAGGCGATATGGATCTTAAGCTGAGAAACTGCGAATCTGGACCGCAAGGTACAAAGAATATGGAGCCAGATCGAAGATCTCGAGGGAGGCCAGCAGCAAACAAGGCAACTATTCCAATTACAATACCAGATACGCCTTCACCAACCCCAATCGAACCATTTTCTCCGATGCAGATTATACCGAATACAAAAATCGTATCAAATGCTCCTGCTGCTCCTACTGTAGAGCTGAAATCAGTAATACCAGACATATCTATACCGTCATACGATGAAGATGAAAACGGGAATATCCAGCAGACAAATGAAGGAGTAGTACCAGACGATATCACATCAATCAAACCTACCGCAGAAGATACCCCAACGCAAGAGCCTACTTCTGCAAGTCCAGAACCTGCACCCGAAGCAGATTTTGGGACCGTCCCAAAATCTGCCAGCGAACCCATTTCTACAGGGCCAGAAACCGCGATCGATATGCAATCGCCCGAAGAACAGGAAGACGAAATGGAATACGATATGGACCCTCCAAGATACCTAACGCGAAAGAGAAAAAGAGAGATGGAAGGAAATCCTGACGGACAACGGTACAATAAGATCGTAAGAGCGTTGATCGCAATGGCAATGGAAGCCAAGACCTACGAAAGCGATGAACATGCGATGGTTGCAATCCCAAGTTTCCACACAGTGGATCCCTATATCAAGAACAAGATCGTGACCAATTTTACTACCTTACTCCAGAGTAAAGTCAGTGACGAAGATACAGCATATCCAGCTAGTGAGGTCCTAGGAATCAAAATACCAAGAACCTATAATGAGGCAGTATCGGACCGGAAATATGCTGTAAAATGGAAGGAGGCTATACAGGAAGAAATCAATTCTCTAGTTCAGAATGGTACTTGGGAAGAATTTATACTTCCTAAAGGAAGCAATCTAGTTTCTACAAAATGGGTATTTACAATCAAGACAAAGGACAACAAAGTTGAGCGATTCAAGGCAAGATTAGTAGCTAGAGGATTTAGCCAAGTACTAGGAAAAGATTACAACGAAACGTTCGCGCCGACGATGAGGCTGGATACACTCCGACTCTTCCTTGCTATTGTTGCTAAAGAAAATTTGGAATGCTCTCATTTCGATATTAAAAACGCTTTCACGGAATCCCATCTTAAAGAAGAGATCTACCTTGAGCCACCGCAGGGAGTCAAAGTCGAAAGAGGCCATGTATTGAAAGCATTGCGAAGTCTATATGGACTAAAGCAAGCCGGAAGAGATTGGAGTTTGCTACTGAAAATGGAACTCTTAAAAATGGACTTCGTACAGAGCCTGGCTGACCCGTGTCTGTACACATCTCAGGACCACAGCATAATGCTATTGGTATACGTCGACGATATCGTCGTTGCATCACACCAGAAATCACAGATCGAACGATTTGGGGAAGAGCTGTCGACACGCTTCAACACCAAGAACCTGGGGGAGATAAGTAAGATCCTAGGTGTCAGAATCATTCGCGACAGGAAAGCATATACATTAACCATGGATCAAGAAGAATACCTCGACGCTATGCTGAATAAGTTCGGTATCACCCACGGACAGCATCAAGCCAAGAAAGTACCAGTAGCAGATTATACACACCTCCGACCAGCGAACGATGATGATGAGCTGACGGATGTAAACGAATATCAACAAGCAATAGGGAGCGTAATCCATCCAATGGTATACACTAGACCAGATATAGCGTTTGCAGTTGGAAGACTCTCACAATTTATGGCAAAACCAGCAAAGCATCACAGTATAGCCTTAAAGAACCTAATGAGATACCTACGATCGACAGTCAAGCAAAAACTATGGTTCGGACCAAAGGGAGTACAATCTGATATCTGCAAAGAGTACAATATGCTAGATGATACAATAAAGGTATATACAGATGCAGATTGGGCTAACGATAAACAAGATCGGAAGAGCGTCTCAGGAGGAGTTGTGATGTTCTATGGAGGACCTATATCATGGGCTAGCAAGAAGCAGACATCTGTAGCAACTTCCAGTGCAGAAGCCGAGTATATCGCAATGGCAATGTTCACCAAGCAGGGAAGATGGATTGCCCAAATACTTAAAGATCTGTCAAAATCAGGCTACATCGGGAAGAAAGGGGATACAGTCCAGATGTTGGGAGACAACCAAGGTGCCCTAGCCCTAACCAAGAACCCACGGTTGCACGAGAGATCCAAGCATATAGATATCAGCTATCATTTCATTAGAGACCTAACAGAAAAGGAGAAGATCGCCACTGATTACATCAACACATGCGATATGGTTGCCGATGGAATGACGAAACCGTGTACAAGGGTCGCCTTCGAGAGATTCAAGAAAATGCTGGGACTAGTAGCATAAAAGGATCAACAGAATGCCCTCAATGGGGGAGTGTTGAAATTAAGGTCATTATGGGCCTAGAATTGAGGTCATATGACCATTATGGTGCACGGACCATAATTGGGAATATCTTCAATTCTACCATTACTGTAACTTAGATCCTTAGTTTAACCTACATCTAATAATACTACTACTTCCAAACAACTCAGTTTGAAAAAAAACCCTAAAATATTCCTCATAATAAATTTCTATTTAAAATTATATAATTATTTTATTCAGAATCTAATCTTAGATATTGAATGATTAATAAAAATAAATCGATTACATATTTCAAGTAATAATAAATGTTAAATTATCTAATAAAGATTCATTTATCAGTTAAATTTTTTTCATAAAATTATATTTTAATAATTAAAGGGTGGTATTTAAAGTGTTACGAGGTTTGCCGTCTAGATCACGTGGAAGTGCTCTAGGCTCTCGAAATGGTTTATAACTAGGTGTCAAGCAGGGACTTAAGTAATGACAATGATGCAATTCGTAACTAATAGTAAAGTATACTAAATGATTGATTTTGAATACGAAGCTCTACAATAAGGAAATTCATACTGAATATATAGATCTTCATGCTCCCTTAGATCCTTTTGGATCCTAAGCTCTAAAAGATCCAAGTCATATGTTTTCTGACGGTGCATACGTATACGATCCTAAAGTGACCCAGATCACATATTAATTCGATGAAATCTGATCGCTTTTGTACAAGGCCCAAGCTCTCCTAATTAGTCAGTTGTTACCATCGTAACATAAAGTATTAAATCCTTTATTTTATATTCCGGTCATTTTTTTTATTTTAATCACTTTTTATACCAGGGACCTGCGCCCCCCGGACCCCTGGCTTTTCGAGAAAGTCTAATGAAAATTTAATTTTTAAAAATTTTATAATAAATTTAAATCTTAAATATATATTAAAGCGCAGACAGAGTGTCGACTTGTCTTTTGATATTGAAAATTAAAAGAATTTATTTAAAAAATAATAATTATAATATTTATTTTTATTATATTGATGTTATATTATTAGTATTAATTTCCAGTAGTAACTGCCCATCACATAGCAGAAATCGCTTCCATGATCTTCCAGTAAGTTCAGTAAGCCCTCGCCAATTAACTCGCCGACCTCTTCCGACCTGGTCCATAGATCAGAAAATGGATCAAATGGCGCTTGCAATGTTGTTCCAGCTTGAGCAAGCGCTTGATATGGCTTCGGTGTCTTGGCCGCTGTTCCAATCATCATCAACAGATCCCCATTATAAATGCCTTGCGGGAAGAATGTCATGTTGGTAACGCGCAGCACTAACGTACCAGTACCCAAGAACACATTCTGCCGGAGCCCCACGAGACAGCAAGCATGGCCGACTACTGAGTGATCGGCAAACTCAACGGCTAGCCATCCCATTATCTGAATGTCTTAGGCGATCATCTCGTTTCGCCCGCGCCATAAAGGTTCCAATGCAGCGCCAAGACTAAGCAATTTGGCCCCTATAGCCCTGTAATCGGCTGTAGGTTGTTGGCTGTTAGCTTAGCTAGCTTATCGCTCCCCTTTAAACTTGCCTTATTTTGGTTGGTTTCTTCGGTTTCTTGGTATCAATATCTTATTCCCTTACTCTTCTTTCACCGCCTTCTATATCCTCAGCTCCTTCGCTTTTGTCACCCTTGATGTCCATTCCCACAAGCTTCAACCATATACGTCCAACTAGTTGGCGGTATCCGCGGCCTATACACTCTATACAAAATGTCCACCAAAAGTATGTTCGCTCTTGACAGCGGACTCGGTCCTGGATATAACAACTCGTTTGGTTTCTCCCTCACTTTTGAAGGTGCAATCCTAACCATCGCGCCTCTGGGTGTTCTGATTGCTGCCTGGCCATTTCACATTTGGCATTACAGGAAGAGACCAGCCGTTGCCAAGACTGGGATGCACTTCTGGCTCTTAAGGGTAGGGCTCCCATATCAAACTCTTCTTAAGACTAAACAAAAATCACTATATATTTCAGATTGGGGCAATCGCTCTCTTTTGCTTAGAGGTTGCTAAGGCGGTGGCCTGGAGAATGGCTCCTGGCGGTGTATTTGCAATTTTCCAAGCGGCCATAGCACTCTCAGCGGTTAGCGCTATCGCTGTCTTACCAATGAACACGCTAGAATATCGCCACTTGCCTCACTCTCCCTAGATAAGTAGCGCCATGTTGAGCATTGCATCTTGCGTAGACATTGTGAAAACTCGATCTTTCTTCATGAGAGATGGTATGAGCACTGTCGCGGCGCTTTCTGCCGCTACCGTGGTACCCAAACTCGCGATAATCATATGTCAAGAGCTTCCCAAGCCATTTTGCGATTCCACAAACCAGATACTCTCTCAAGAACCACTTGTGGCTTTTGGAACCAAGCCTTGGCTGTATGGGTGAACCCAACGATGGGTTTAGGTAGGTGGCAGGCTTTAGCCATGAAGAACCTTTCTACCCCCGGTTCCGACAACTCATCGCAAAGGCTGAGCTCGGAATGATCGTATCTAGGCAAGGCAAGACAAGACCTCACGATGGGCTCTCATCAATACCTGTGTTGTTGCTTTCCGCTAAACTTTAGGACCAGCCGTCTTCTCACACATGCTTACAACCGCGTGCGAATGGGCTCAGGCTTTCTCCATCCAGACGACAGTAGCTTCTATGGGGCAAGATGAACCGAGATGGCGACCAACTTCTCTTATTTTAGCAACTGTGGCCATATACTTGGTGAAGATGGTAATCAGTCGAAAAGTTTACATCGAAGCATATCGCTAATATCATTACTAGACAACCATTTCAATGACTATATATTATATCAACAAGACTAGTACACTCACTCGTGGACACCTCGTGACGCAAATTACAAAGAAGAACTTCGCCTTGACACTGGTTTCAGCAAAAAAGACAGAGGCTGTTACCCTCATGAGCACAGATGTCGAGCAAATCTGCGATTTGATTGTAGAATTGCACGAGTTTGCCACAGCGATCCCTGCTGTTGCATGATGCCTATATAGACTTCATCTATCGAATCATCGGGATTGCATTTAAATTTGTCCTCATCTTTGCTATCGGTCTTGGTAAATTATCCTCATATTATAAAGGAACGTGTGCTCATATCTTTCAAAGCTGGCTGTCTTGTAGCTGTTTTGATGACCAAACCGGCGGCAAAGTCTCAGAAGCGATGGGTAGAAGGAGTTCAGAAACGTGTCGCCCAAATGAGCATTGTTTTGCTGCAATTGAAAGGCATCAGAATATTTGGTCTGCAATTTACGATTACCGGGCATTCATGCAGTGCAGTCGTGAAGCTAAGATTCAACGGTCCTTGCGGATTCGATACCTTCGTATTCAAGAATTTTTCTTGCAGAGGGAGCGCGAGGATCCGCGTCAACTCTTCAATCGCATCGGTGCGATTTCTCTTGATGTGGACGAAAGAGAAGCCGCTACGAGTAGCTCAGATATATTAGACAAGAAGCCATTGGCAACTGAAACTGTCCAAATCTCGACCAACAATCTTTCAGTAGCAGCACTACGAACCGAAAACCGCGTAAATGTCTTGGATAGTGTAAGCTTCGACATCGCTACTGCGTCACTCAATATCGTCATTAGCCCGGTCGGTTGTGGCAAGTCTACTTAATTTGCTTCGTACCCTGTTAGGCGAAACTGCCCTCTCCAGCGGGACAATACATATAAGAACGGACAATATGGCCTTCTGTTTCCAGAATTCCTAGATTTCCAACTGCACCATTCGACAAGCGGTTATTGGCACTAACAAATATGATCACAAATGGTATCAAGGGGTACTTAAAGCGTCTGCTCTCTGACTATGACGTTGGCAAGATTACGGATCAGTCCAAAACTAGCAATGATAATGGAGGCTTACTGAGCGGCGGCCAGAAGCAGAGAGTTGCGAGTAACTGAAAGCATGCAATGAAACTTTTAGTCGCGATGCTAATGAATCCCCGAAATACAGGACCTAGCTCAAGCCATCTATTTTCTGGCTCCGATTCTAATCCTCGACGATATCCTGAACGCCCTCAATTGATCGACTGCTAAACTCATCTTCTCCCGGCTGCTTTCCCCCAATAGTCTCTTTAAACATCAAGGAAGAACTGTTGTTAACGTTCTAGCTACGCACGCCGGTACTGTCATTTCGCTCTTCTTGTGAGCTCAAATTCTAAGACTAACATGTTTACTTGGTCGAATGGCTCAGTGATACCGACCAATTCCTTGTCCTCGATTCTTCTGGACACGTTTCTTCGCATGTCGATAAAAAGGACATCGACGCCGTGCGAACAGCAGCGCTAATGTCACCGAATCGAGACAAAGACCAAGAGTTTGAGGAAGAAGTCGTCCTGAATCTTGATGATGAGAGCGACGTGGCCGAGAAAATTGACACGATGCTGGCTACTGATAGAAGTCTTTACAGACTGCTTTTTGAACGATGCCGCGATATCTATTAATCGTAGTTGCAACGTCGGCTGTTGTTTGGCAAGTTCTCAATACCTGGAATGAGCTATGGGCTCTAATATGACTGGCTATAGGCCCGATGAATAAGCTGCTAGTTATTCCTCTGCCCATCAGTGTCTTTATACATGTTTTTTTCTCGGCATTTATGGTTTGGGTATGGCAAATTATCGCAATGCCCAAGATTGTCAACAGGATGCACAATTTGTTCCTCGACGCTATCATGACAGCCACGCTGCCCTTTCTCTCGGGATCACAGAGAGGAGCGCTGCTCAATAGATTCAGCCAAGATATAACACTTTCTGCATTCAAACTACCACACGGCGAACGTTTTCAGTGTATTCCTCAGCTTGACTATTGTCATCACTTAGTGCCTGTATCTTATCTCTAGATCATATTACATTATGGCCTTTATAATTATTCCATTTCTCTCCGGCATCCTCCGGGTATTCCAGAGCTTTTACCTGCAGACATCCAGACAAATACGAATGCCGGACTTAGAGAGCAAAGCTCCTCTATTTGCCACAATTAGCGAGATGGCTGCTGGTGTCGAGCACATTCGTGCCTAGTGGTTGGCAAGGTCCGCTACTTTCGCAGACATATGAGATGCTGGAACACTCCCAAAAGTCGTTCTACTACATGTATGCGGTTCAACGATGGATTTTGGTTATCTTGAACGCGATTGCTACTGCAATAGTTAGTGGGTTATAGTGAGCATCGCTCTTCTTGTCGTCAACGCCTTGTACATGTCGCAAGGCGGATTAGGCCTAGCATTGATGGCCGTGATCTACCTACAAGCAGATCTAAACTTTCTCATTACTGAGCGGACTACCCTGGAGACTTCACTAGGAGCTGTGGCGCGTCTGCAGTCGTTTATAAAGAATACGCCAACCGAAAGGACGAAGATGGCGTCGCAGAGCAAACTGTGACATGGCCGAGTCGTGGCGAAATTGAATTTAATAACTTTTCAGCTTCATATAGCCCGAAGTTAGATGCTAGACGAGTAATCAATGAAGTTTCTTTCCAGATCAAATCGGGAGAATCGGTAGCAGTTGTAGGATATACGTGGAGCGGAAAGAGTAGTATTATTTTGACACTCCTCAAATTTTTACACCATACAGGTACCATTACCACTGATGGCGTCGATATCTCGAATATACCTCACTAGCAACTTCGTCAGAGCATCACAGCAATTCCGCAGGATCATGTTGATATCCCTAGCACTGTCTGTGGTAATCTCCTGCACCTAGAGATTCTGAATGATGATGAAGACAAGAAACAGGACGATACCGTCCTAACCGAGATATTGAAAACCGTTGACCTATGGACCACATCTCTCGTCACGGGGAACTGCATGAGCCTCTTACAAAGAAAGATAGGACTATCAGCTAGCGAGCGACAGCTGCTGAGCCTAGCCAGGGCGCAAAGATGGGAAGCAAGATTGTGACTATAGACGAAACGACGAGCAACAAGGACTATCAGACAGACTCGATCGATATCATGCATCGCGTGATAAAGATTAATTTTGCAAGCTATACTCGAGTAATCTGTACGCATCGTAATACAGTCCCGAGTCAATGCGATGTACTTATTGGTTAAGCTGGAAGATGGCAAGGAGATGTCGTAGGAGAGGCAGAGCTGCGTCAATAGTGCGAGAGTTGATTTGATATTTAGGGAGCTATCCAGGGATTTATTGAATCGAGCTGAATATTGCGTGTGTAGGTGCTGGAAGAAGGTTGTAAAAGGTGATAAACAAAGGGTGTTTATAGGATATGTTCTGAATTTAGAAGCTAGTATAGCATGATAAACAACGAGTTTATAATGAACGTGAACGTTTTGAATTAGTGAGAGTAAGCGGGGTTGTATGAACTATCTTCTACACCTACTAAATCTATGAACTAACACTCCAAGCATCCTCAAATATATATATATATATTCATACATACATACTCACATACTCACATCTAAAAGTAATATCTGCTATATGTACTCTTACTCGTGCTCTTGCTCTTGCTCTCTCATATATCCTCATATTCGCTCATTAGTCTAATTAAAGAAAGAAAGATATTATCACTATTACACCCTTAAATATCCATGACCATCCATCTTTAAATTTCATTCGTTGATCCATTTATTTATTTAATACATTCATACATTCATAAATCATAAATCATAAATCATAAATCATAAATCATAAATCATAAATCATAAATCATAAATCATAAATCATAAATCATAAATCATAAATCATAAATCATAAATCATAAATCATAAATCATAAATCATAAATCATAGGATCATATAACCCTTGACCCTTCCGGGGGGGTAGAATTCTCCGGGCCTGGAGCTGGAGTCTATATTTGCGCTCCATATTCCACCTCCTTCCCCTTTCCTATCCCCATCCCCTTTCTCATCCCCCACAAACCTTTCTCTCCCCGCTCACCCCCCACCACCGAAGCATTCCTACTCCTCTCCTTCAGCGCCATCAAACCACCATCCCCACCCACCTCATCCCCTTCCCCACCCCTCCCACCCAAACTCAACGCTCTCAACCTCCCACCCACCACCCTATCCAAAAACCTCTTCTCATCCTTCCTCTTCTGTTCCTCCTCCAAAAACCTCCTCTCCTTCTCCGCACTCTCACACTTATCTTCCATTTCCTCCTCTCTCCTAACCACCCCCTCCCTATCCATCATCTTATCCTTCCTCCTCACCACCTTCCCCATAATCTTTTTCGCCCTCTTCCTCGTCTTAACATATGCTTCTAAACCCACCAGAACCGCATATGATCGAGAAATACTCACACGACTCATATCACATCCTTCCGTTTTGAGATTCTTGACAAACGCTCTGAAATTCGATACAGGAGGTCTGTAATGTCCACTCAATGGAGATAATTTAGTTAATCGACCATCTTTAATTTTGATTAATCCCGCCGCAGAAATTCTACTTCCGTGAAGAAAAGAAGAATGTTGAAATGCACCACTTTGTTTAATTCCCACATAAAGACGAAACGAAGTATCAGCCACGAAAATCCATGTATTTTTCTTAACCGATCCTCGAAGAAGTTTATTAAAAATGGTAGAAGCAGACATGTGAGAAACTTTTTTCATGCCGGGTGCATTATCGTATTCGGGAGATGCGTATTTAGATGCGCGGGATTCTTCTCGTAGGATTTCGAGTTCTTGCGCCTGTGACTGAGATTGTGTGCGCGTATGTGAATTATGATGAAGAGGAGATTCATCACTGGAACTTTCACTCTCTTCTTCTCCTTCATTATCCCCTTCTCCACTCACTGGTGTGAAAACAGGCGTCTCATCATCATTCCTCACAATTCCTCTAACGCTGTCTCTCCACTCAGTCGTCGTATCAATCCTCTCACCATTCTTCGCCCAACATAATCTCCCCTCTCCATCAATCTTGACTAGATAATCCAATCTCTCCTCCTTACTCAAATATCTCACTTGTTCTCTATCCAATCTCTCCCTCGGACACCCTTGACAATCTATAAACCTCCCCTCCCCATAATCCAACCAATAAAAGAAATTCTCGTTAGTATCTGCTTTTTTCCATTCCTCATGATACGTACGAAGATTCGATCCATATCTATGTTTAAGATCGACCATTTCAAGAAAATATTGTAAATCCATTATTTTCGCAGCTTTCTGTCTCGCCGCTTTTTCTTCAACTCGACGTTTTCGTCTCGCAATAAGTTCTTCCTCATTCAAATCCCCAGATTCATACTCAGATCCCTCATCAGATTCTTCATCTCCACCTGCCCTTCGAGCTATCATACCGATTTTCCTCCAATTTTCTCGTGCGTGAGATGTTCGATTTGTTGTTGTTGTTGTTGAAGTTGGACTTCCTACTCCTTCTATATTCATAGACGAATCACCCTCCCCATCCAAACTTCGACTTCCTCTTTCCTTCTCCCCACTTTCCCTCGCTCTTGGAGTTGTTAAATTCCTATACCTAGCCTCCTTAACCGCTTCAACCCATCGAGTTCCTACGTCCAACCTCTTTCCTGCCAGAATTCTCCTTTCCCTATGTCCTCTATAATTCCTCTGTATAAGTTCCGCAGCTTTCCACCTTTCATCTTCACTTAAATTCGGATCATCACCTAATCGTTTCGCGATAGCTTCTTTTTCTTTTTCTTCCTGGACGTGATTGATTTTTTGAATAACTTCAGGTGGTGGCATGGCGAGCGAATTAATATATTCCTGATGAGATTTCGAAGATGCTTTGCTAGAGACACTAACACGGGAGGGATGATGGGAATGTTGTGGATTTGATCGATTATGAGGAGATTGAGGGTTCGTTCTATCGTGATTTGTATTCCTCGTCGTCGCCGCCGCAGTCGCAGATCTCGAAGGAAATGTAAAATCGTTATTTAATGTATCCTCAACACTTATTTTCGAATCGCATTTCCTATGACTTCCATTTCCATTTATTCCATTCGACCGAATATTCTGTTCATATGGCTTATAATTTCCTCCACCTCGATTCACAGTCGATATATCTTCTCGTACGGAAGTTAAACTCCGCCTCGAAGTATCTTTTGATAAAGATACATCAAAATCAGGATATGAAGCCGTAGCCAGTGGAGGGGACATTTTCATGACGAAAGATCTTGGCGAATTGTTCTCCGACGAGAAAGGATAAATTGATAATTATCGAATATATATCTTCATTTGATTAGGAAATCAAAGTCTCATGTCTGTAATTGAGATGAATATTCTCCAATAGTATGAATTCGAATTATCGAAGAAGATGAATGAGCGACTTCGAGGGTAGAACATACGACTAGACAATGAAAAATTCTGGAATGTCTAAAATGACATTTGCAGAACCTCGGTCTTTTTTCTTCTTCATACCTTGATTTAACATTACCACAGATACATACGTATTATATATATCTACGTCTGCATCCGGAAAACTCCAATACTATAATAGATCTCATAGCAAAGTGATTAATTAGCCAATACCAATGCCAATCTTCATCAAATCTTCTTGTATATACCTTGAGATCATCCTGCCAATACCATGATGCAGATAGGCGCAACAAGGATTTCCAAAAATGACGTTGACAACTCATAAATAACTTCCTGCTCAGCCTTGCAACGTATTAACGTATCAAACATATCCCTGATCAGGGTCGTGGTCGTGGTCGTGGCTAGTTTTTCGGGATTTGCGGTGAAAAGTGGAGAGGAAGTTTTATTTAGTGTGGCGCCTACTCACTCATGATCATGACTTTCATTTAATACTATCCAGCCGCGTAAAACGAAACTATCTATTATGTTACATCTAATATACGGTCCGTATTCCTCATGAGAATTGACACATTCATAAATCCATATTTTCGATTATATTTAAAGCTACTAAGTATTTCCTTACTCTATATCAAATCTAATCTAACCATATGTAACGATACTATACTAGAGGCAGCGGCTGCCTAAGGTTCGTCAGTTGGTAGTTATGGGTTAAGGTTTTTATCACTGGTATTCACTTGGAAGTGAATTCGTTACTGGATCAAGTAGAATGTAGATAAACTAATTGATAACTAAGTTGAGCACAAAGCTCCTATACTATGAAACTTATTCTAACTATATACTGAACAATAAAGGGAGCCTCTAGGAGCTCTGAAGGCTCCCAGGGTTCCATCACGTGATCCCTATTTGCCTCAGAACACTAATCCTGGGACGACTCGTCTCCTAGGATAAATACTATCATAGCCCATCCTGAGTCCTAGGACACTTGTCCTATACCATTGTGGTTGCCTAAACGTTTGTCCTAGGATTATTATCCTAGGACGCCTTTTATCCCAGGACACTTGTCCTGGGATTCCTAGGTTCCTTATCGCCCGCGATAAGGAACCCCGCGTAAACCGTGGTTGAATCACATTCCCCCTGTATTCGGCAGCTAAATCACCGACATCTATAATACTATAATTAAATCTTTCTCCAGGTTCTTTTACTTATCCCATCTCATCTCTATACGGAGTAAAAACATCCAAATACAAATATAAAATCAAATCACACTAATATATCGTATCACATCATATCATATTATATTCCACCAAACACTAAACTCTACATACATACTAGGTATATACATAGAGACCAAGAGCTTTATTTCATTCAAGCTATATAACGCTGTAATAGGACCTCTTTTCATCGGTTCCTATATCTCGCTTTGGCTCCTACACCTCGCTTTCCGAGCTTCCCCTATTTTCCTCGCTCTCCTCTCCTCTCCGCTTTCGATTCTCGGTATTAAAAATGTGTAAATATCTACATCCATCCCATCTATACGTGAACTCATGCCTTTTTTTATTTGACCTCATGTAATGTCCAGTTCATTACTCATCGCCTGTTCATCACCCACCCGTACCACCATACCGACCCAAAACCTCCTTCATTGTATCCCTAACCACATCTCTAGAATACCATTAATCATCTTCCGATGCCCCATCTAACCCCCACGAATTCGAAAATGTGGTCACATCTCCATCCTCACCAACCTAATCAGCCCTCTTCCCATTTGGCATTCCAATCGGACTCTTCGATCCACTTCCACTAGGTGTTCTCTTCCCATTAACCTCCAAACCCCTCTTCTCCAATCTCTTCTCCATTTCTTGATTTCTATAAATCTCCTCCAACTTCTGTTCTGGAATCGTAAGACAATTAATTCCCAAGTAGTTACAAATACTTGTAACCACCAACCAAGCCCATCTAAAGTAAACCACTAGAGCAAAAACAAAGTATGCTCTGAGATACCACAATTCTACTCCTACGCTAACAGCTGGTAAACCAAATCGTGGGAGATTACCGAGAATAGCGCCTCCAACAAGTGGTGTGAGCATAACTGTCCAGTAAGGAAATGGTTGCCTTGTAAGATGTGCCAAAATAATCTTTGTTGTCATTCTTCCAAAGACAAAACTCATTGTAAGACAGAAAAGGACCAAACGATTTTCCGCCATGAGTGTTGAGTATGGAGAGAAAAGCCAAGCACCAATACTGAAAGTAAACACGGCCATAGGAGTCCATTCGAGGAAAACCGGTAAAACAGGCAAGTTATCTCTTCTCCTTGCTTTAACCACATTTATAACGCAGAAAGGAACATGAATACCGAATAATGAGACGACGAGAATTGGTACCCAGAGATCTCTAACGGAATAAGAACCGAAAAATTCATGATATCCGAGGAAATAATGATGACCGACTAAATCCGTGATTCGATGTGTCCAAATTTCTGGTCCATAATATCCACTTAGGATCATGATCGTACAAGCCAAGATTAATCCTTCTGTAGGTCCATTGAAAATTCCCAAGTATAATGTATGTGTATGATATGTTTCCCAAGTTGAAAAGAACATGGGTAAACATGGAATCAATGCGGTGAAGATTCCAGCTCTTGATGTACCTAAACCCATAGCAGCCGTTTCGCAAAGTGATGCAAGTGTACAATTTAGAGAATCGATTCCATGGTCGAAGAGTTCACCTAGACCGCTAGATGTTCCGGTTCTTCTCGCTTGTTTTCCATCTACATTGTCCATTGTTGAATACATCCATAGACCGAAGGCAAAACTGTAATATAACCATGACGGCCCCTGCCTTTTGTCAGTATTTGTCGTTTTTTTGCATCTTTGCAGATTCGAGGATGTGTGAGAGAGGGAAATGGGTCGATTGAGGAGCAGGAGGGGTTAAGGGTAAAAGAATATAGAAAATCAGTAGAGAAGAACACTTACAGGTCCAACCAAATCCGGCATGAAGAGCTCCAAAAAGATAACATTAATGAGAATGAAAAAGAATCCCAACAATGTTACCATATTTGGCGCAATCCATAATGGTAATAATTCGACGAAGCCATTCCACTATAATGATTGTGTTAGTCTGGTTCTTCTTCAAACTCAATAGCTTGCTGTGCTCGATATCTCATCCCCAAGTTATTATGTAGAAAAGTTTCAAGAACAATAGAACATTGACGTAAAACCTTTCCTCTCCTTCCTCTACCAATCTGCCCAAACCCTCAAGCTCAAGCTTGAAGCTCGTTGCGCCTAACCTATCAATATCTACTCTTCCCCTCCACGCAGCATATCCAACACCCCAAAGATCGGCTGCAGAAATGAAAGCTCCCTCACTCCATCCCCCACCGTCCCTCAAGTAAAAAAGAAAAAAGAATAGAAATCAAAACTCACATAATGTTTCAAGATATAATTCGAAATCAAACTCTTATCCACGCTCGAATATTTGTATGATTTCAGATGAACGAGCGCTTCTTCCGACACGCACTCATGCGCTGCTTCTTCTGTTTTTGGGTAGATTTTGTTAGCTTTCGGTTTTTCTTATGGATTGATTTTTTTGCGTTCTTTTCCTTCATTGTGCCTGGGAGTGTTTGCGGATTTCTCCTCTTTCCTGTTTCTCTCTCTTCTTTCCTTCTCTTAACCTGCGAAGTAATACTATCGCATCGTAGAATATCTCGTCTATCCCACTTCACCTAATTCATCTCATCTCCTCCTCTCACCCCGCCAAAAAAAAGGACACAAAAAAAAGATAAAAAGGAAAACCAGCACACGAGGAAAAAACTTACTCATACTCGTCACCATCTCCTCCAAATCCTCCACTCTCTCCCTCAACCCCTTCACCCTCGGCGTCTTAGGTGTCGTAACCGGCAAGGGCAACACCTTAGTATCTTTAAAATTACTTGCTGACGCCGTATTCACAGCCAGCACGGAATCGATCTTGTCGCGAATATTTTCGGTGGTGGGCGGAATGCGCTTCCTCCCGAGCGAATAAAAAAGTAGGAGGTAGGTGGGTGATTTGAAAGGATGGCTTAAATACCTTGGTAGGCAGATCTTGGTCGCACTAAGGAGTGAATTTTGGTGAATCAAAGCAGTGTGGGATATTATCGGGTTGAGCTTGGCTGGCTGATGATGCGGGTTGTGTCCCGATGGTTTCCGCTGGGGTGATGAGGTGAAGTTGATTTTCGTGGATTGATTAATTAATTGATTAATTGATTATTGTGTTTGTGTTGATGTATTTGCTATTTGAAGTAGAGTAAAGTATTACATAAAACACAAAAAACAACAGAGTCGTTCAATCGAGGAAATCAATAGAAAAGATGCAGATATAAAAAAGATGAAAGTAAAGATAAATTTTATTTTAGAAGAAAAACACTTTCACGAGGAAATCTCAGGAAGCTTATTACCGATACTTACCTATCCTTTCTGTCTTTCCTTCCACGTTCCTGCGACTCCGTAATTATGTCCAGGGGAGTCAAAGTCACTAGCCTACAAGATACTCTTGGTACAAGATCTAGGACACCAGTGGTACACCAGTGGTACCGTTTAAAAAAATAAAGTGGTCGGTCGGCCAGTCTGATCAGGGGTTTGAGGTCTTCTAAAGCTTCTACGGCTGGTGGGCCCAGTTATAGAAAGGTTCTACTCCATGTACTAATGAATTCCACGTCAGCTTTTTGGCTCTAGCACGCACTTGAGCTGACATCAAGCGATAAAGCGGTCAAGAGCTTTTCGAAATTGAAAAGTCTTTCATGTGATATAGTAGATAATGTAAGATCTTAATAATCATTTTCTACATCTATGAAAGAACTCATGCTCGTATACTCGTATCCCACACTAAAATACAAAATACAATAAACAATAAACAATAAACAATATACTCATAAAATCTTAACAATTAATTTTCTATATCTGTAATTATAAAAGAACTCATACTCATATCCCATACTCAATCCCAACAATTAATTAATTTTCTACATCTACGAGTATACAAAAACTCATACCCATACCCATATACTCGTATATCGTATACCCGTATACCCATATCCCATACACTCGTATCCCATACACCCATCTACTACAAATTCAATTACTAAATCTAACAAGTCTAACACATCTAACTTCAACTCATACTCTCATAACAAACCAAACCTCATCTAAAATAATAAATCTATAAATGAATAAAACAAACATTTTCAAAAAACAGTACCTACCGAGTATTTCCTACAATCAAAAGTAAAGTTATATATAAGAGAGAAATGAATATATTACAGAAGAATCTATACATACAAAGCTAAAGTCATCGGTTCACCAGTTCAAGTGTGAATCAATCTAGCTTGATTACTGACCACCAATGGAGTAGCTTTTCAACATCTTATGCCAGTATAGATATCAATCATCTGCTCAGCTCTTATAGATGCGTGAGTGTGACATTAAAAACTTGTATTGATTGATTCTTCATTCCATGTTGTTTGTAACTCTTGATACTATACACTTTTTTGAAAATTTCCCAGAATTATTTCCACGGGTCCATAATTTGACCTCCATTATCATAATGTATCTGGACATTCGTTCACATCCTTAGAATTTCCACTCAAGAATCTGTACCTCGATCCCTGATATTTTTAAAACATGGAGCACATATAATAACAAGCCATCGCTCATCCCATTCAGCCATATTGCTGAAACCACTCGCTTCTCTCCTCTCGTTACTTTCCCTACCACCAGCATCAGACTTTCCTATCGCTGCCACATCCACTAACGCAGTTTTGTAAAGAAAATAACCAAAAATGCAACGAGACCAATAGCAATTGCACACATCCAACAGGCCAAAAGCAACCATGCATATCTTTTTTGTTTTAGGGCAAAAGATGAAAAATCTCCATCGGTCCACCATACTATGATTCCATCCATTCGACCAGTTGCATACAGCAATAACATCGGAGGGAATAGATTACATAAGGTCAATACCAAGATTGAGATGTTTCTTTTGCGACGAGCCTCAAGGATGATATGAGCAGGGTTTTGAGACCAAGGAGATAATTTCGGGTTTTCGAATAAATGCTTCCATGTGTTTCCTCGAGAATCACGAGCGCTATCACCAAGTACAGGTTGAGATTCGAAGAAACCATCGGATTTTGCAGCATCTCGAATTTCCTGCAACTGATGAGGACTGTACAAATCCTGCCAGCTTGGACGCTTAGGAGGAGCAAGAGGGGACCTATAAATGAAATCATTGGTGTTATCGCTTTGCGTACCCCTGTGAGTATGACCTCGAACGGGTGTTGATGGTTGCTCTACTGTCGGACGGCTCTCAAAGGTTGAAGCTGCATTATTGGTAGATGCTAAAAGTGCAAGAGGGCGAAGGGCATTTGTTGGATAATCCTTCGTGTTATTGTTTTGTGTGGGAAATTTACCAGGTCTGTTTGCTTGAATCAAACTCACACGCCTCGGTTCATGCTTGGAATTCATGTGAAGGTCTCTATAAAAGGCCCCTGGTGGACCTTTTATGAAACGTTTGTGATCTTGAGGCTTTGGATCACCGGCGGTTTTCAATTCTATTTGAATTTCCTTGTGTTTGGTAGCATTTTTTGATATTGTTGCCATTGGCTCTCTCTTTGGGCTGGCTATTTTCTCGCCAAGCGCTAACACATATTGCCACGAACTCGAACGCTTCTTGTTCAATGGTGGTATATCATCATTAAAACCACCTAACGCTAGTCCTGGCTCACCCACGTCACCTGTCCAGTCAAATCTCAAGCGTTCATCCACATGTCCTCGGATACTAGAAGAAATTTGTTGGCCTTGATTAGAACTTGTAAAGTCTGCACTTTCCTCACTTGTATGAAGAGACGGTGGGAATATAACATGATTTTGACCACGAGATGGCTTCATCTTCGGCGGAGGGGATTTGAAAGGATTAGTATGAGCTTTACTAAGAGGTTGTGGATTGTAGTTGTAGTTATTTTGAGGTGGCCGGGTTCTGTTTGAATCTGCAAGATAGCCGTTGACTTTGTGCTCTCTGAAGACAGGTAGAAACACAGGAATGTGAGACTTTTTTAGATCTCTTTGACGATAGTCTCCGTAGTATTCAACATTGCCAGGATGATGTGCAATACGTTCCGAAGATCCGTACTCATCGATACGTAGAGGCTCGGTGCTCTCTGTGCCATCATCTGAATTATCTGCAATGCTGCTTCCTGCTCTGTTGACAAGACCCCCCATCATCATTGGCTCGTTCGGCTTAGAACGGCCAAAGGGTCCCGCAGCGCTGTCTGCTACAGTTTCCCAATCTTCCGCCTCGGTGGGAGTGGTATGTTTCTCGGATGATTCATGAGGTCGATCATACGGGGATTCTGGAGGAGAGTCGGGAAGATTAACGCTGTGACTAATTGGAATACGGACAACGTTTTGATGCTGGGCAGTAACCCAGTTAGGTGCAATTGCTCCACGATCGTAGAACGCCTGCGCCTGTGCTACAAACTCTCTTTGCTCAGTGCTAAGGCTTCCAGAATCTGATGGAGGTGTGTCTTCCACATTGAGCTTTCTTGAGAAATTTAATCCAGGTCTTTGAGGTCGAGGATGCTCATTCTGACCCGTGAATGACGTTGATACGCTCTCCATGCTATAGACACTATAACCACTGGCACGACGGAGGGCCTTGCTAACTTCTCTCTCCAGTGGCTGTCGCAAGATAACTGGGTCTGTCCAGTGTGGATCGTCCCCATACACTGAAGGATCATCTGCTGGAGATATTATGACTTTTGGCGTGGGCTGAACCTTGGGTGTGGCGAATGGGAATGAAGGTACGTGCAGCTGTGCAGCAATGTCTGCTTCAGAGTCATCTCCATCAGAATTCACACTATTAGTTCTCTGTATCAAAGCTTTTCGAGATCCAGCCTTGGTTGTTGTTTGAGTGAGTTCAAGCAATTTGTGTGTGTCACCGTAAGAAGATGTTTGGCCAATTCCTTGAGAAATGCTTGGAGCAATTGTTGGCACAGCAAGAATAGGTACTTCAGGCAAGGTACGGGTTGGTGGCTGACCATTTGACTCTCCGCGTACCCTAACAACCTTCCGTTGCTTCTTGATATTAAGAGCTGGTGGCAACATTTCTCCAGAGTCTAATCTCGTGTCTAGGTCAAATTCATTGAAGTAATTTTGGTGATTGGAACTTTTAGCGGCGATATCTCCTCTTAAAGGGCTTTCTTCGTCTACCTCTTCTTCGCTATCGGATTCAAACCCTCTTCCACTCGAGTGAAGATAGTGCTTATAGATATTACCAACAGTGCTAGTAGCTCTTTGAATATCATAACTGTGTCTCTGAGGCGTCGTGTCGGAAGAACTCTTACGTATTGGTGATTGTATTTCGCCTTGATATGGTGTATACAAAGAATGTCGTGCCGGGTTGTAAGATTTTTTACGTGTAAGGTCGCCTAGACTATCTCCATCATTGCTGCTTGGTGGTAGGGAACCCGACGGTGCTTCGCCGAGTTTGGAGTGGTATATAGAAAAGTCATTTCCTTGATATCTAATACTTGACTTGTCTTCGTCATTACCACCACGACCCTGTTTTCGTGCTTCTGGTGTATATGGACCTCTTTCATCATTTTCTTTGAGAAGCTCCATATATCCTGAGGATTTCTTTCCAAATGTTCCCTTTGGAATGTTGGGATTCTCTTTCGGCCAATGCGAAGTTTTGTCCTCTTCATCTTTTGTATCTGGAGTGATGGGTGATGATATGGTTGCAAGCGCGGTCTTAATGTTGGACAGTAGAGAGCCAGGTTCGCCCTTGACTATTGACGAGCGACGTTGTGATCTTGACCTAGGAACTGGAGTAGAATTTTCTGTATCTGATCCATAACGTCCTCCGAAGAGAGCAGCGGGAGGTGGCGGGAGCGGTATATTTTGGAGAAATGATTCAACATTCGTCCCTCTCTTTCTCTCTATTTTCTGAAGGGGAATCGAGTCGCATCTTTCGGGGGGCTCGAAGAGATTGTGTGAAATAGCACGTCGTCCACTTGAAGTCCTCTTTTTACCAGATGTGATTGAAGAGTGGGCAGTGTGCAGATCATGGAACACTGCCCTGACTGGGGCTGGCTTGCTGGATGAAGAAGGAAATTCGACATCTTGAGAGGTTGATCTGGATCTAGGGTCGTTGGAAGAGTCTGGTTGTTGACGATACGGGTTCTTGGATGGCCATTTAGAATTTGGCAGGTCTGCGAAACCAACCACAGGATGAGACATGATATGGAAATGATCTTCAATTGACAGAAATGCGACAGTTAATTACTAAATTATTTCGTGTGGAGATGGTACATCAATTTGAGGTAAACAGTGATACACTTTTGATTAGAAAGAAGAAGGAAAATATTAAACGATTGTTTACTTGCTTGAGGAATGGCAAACTAATAAAAGAAAAAGTCCATGGTCGTCGAAATCGAACAGAAATGAATCGTGTTATACAATTGAGAGCGTGTTCGGAGTCGCGTGTGGTTGTGTTGACAAAGTAAAATATTATTTGAGCTGCAGTTGGGTTGAAGATGAGAGAAAGTTGCTGAATGCGTTCTCGTCGAGTTTGGAGCTTTAATAAAAGACGAGAGTAGAATATGCAATAAATGATTGAATAGAGTTGGTCGTTGCATGTAAATCCTACCTCGAAGAATTGTTCTTGGGGTTTTGTTAAATTGTTGTCGTTGCCCTTGTTATTGTTGTTGCTGTGATGTTGTTGTGACGTTGCTATTTTAAAGTATTTCTGCACAAGCAATCGGTCCGCTGGCATGGACAAATCATGTTTTGCCGATTCGATGAAGTGAGGAGAAGACTTTCACTTTCAACAGACTTCACTATGATCTGACCTTGTCTACTCTGATTCTTTCCAGTTGTCTTTTGCCTTGGTAGATCACTCGGCACCTCTGGCTAATACTAGGAGAAATAACCTGTGGGAAAAAGAAATGATATGGAAGAGATACTAGGTAGTTAGGTGGTTGAAGGAAATACGGACAGATGCAAATGATGGTAGTTATACTTTCATCATGTGAGTGAATGCAATATCAGTTCTTCAATTGAACTACCAGGTAATTACTCGGTATCCCAAATGATTGAGGCTTCTCCATTGATATCGATGGTGCAACATCGTTCCTTCCATTTTGAGATTCACCATGGCGAGAAATTTGAAGCAAAGGAAGGAACTCCCGACCTTCATCCCTCATAATTCATGTCTTAACTTCAAACCCTTCATCAACAATAATATTGATGAAGCTTCAAAGTCCTCCCTAAGGCTTTCGCTTTCTCGGCTTGTGAGAAGAGAAGCAGACCTCTAACTAGACTTCGACCAGAGATTTTTGGAACGTTATTATTACACAGATAATATTACTGAGCCTTCAATATAATTTAAAAGAATGCTTCGGCTTGTAAATACTGAAAAAAGCCTACGATGATGAGTTACAACTAGGTATACATCACCAGCTTCTTTCCAAAACACCATTGAAGTTATCCCTACCTCCTCTGTATATAATCAACGAGGTATTATTCATTATTCATCTGAAAATGCCAACCGATACCTTTCAACAACTCCATCGACAGCCAGATGCCGTTGCCGTTGCCGTTGCCCCTCTTATGGGTTCGTCGATTGAATATCCTAGCTTACAGCCCTATTCGAAGACAGCAAGAACAATTCACACATACTCTGCATATCCAAACCTTCATCAATGAGCGTCGGAGTTAACTACTGAGGCTTTAAATATATCCATTGAGAGCTTGACATCACAAATCGGGGAGTTCGAGGTTTTGTTGGCGGTAGCTATAGGTTCCATAGCTACCTAGTACCTAGTTACCATTGTCGTTGTCGTTGCAAGTAAGATCTTACCTCATTCACTAAAAAGTGGGTACTGCTTGACTACACTAGCGCCTCAAGCTCAGATATTCTCGATTAGATAGCAAACGATACATGTCCCTCCCTCTATCTTCATCATTTCTCTCTCTGCCCTGCTACTCAACAACAACAACAATAATTAAAATCTGAACGGTGGCCAAGTTCTCCTGCGATTACTGGACCATAACAATCAGGAAGCTGAATTACTTGCCTACTATTACACTTCAGGTCCTGCCATTTGTCTATTGGTCGAACTCGGAGCTCCTCAACAGGTAACAAAGCTCATACAAATCATACAAATAATTGCAAGATGGAGCAAATCAAAGCTCTGAATGCTTTGGAGGTATTTATTTGATCTTTCGCTATAATTCCCTCAAGTCTGAGTTACTATACTAATTGTCAAAAGCCCTTCCTAGCTCTTACTAAATCAGCAACATCACCACGCGCCGCCATCGACCTCATCACTCGAGCGACCGCCGCGCCCGGAACATATATATTCACCGAACTTCTCCTCGCGCCACAAATTCAAGCCCTCTCCACTGCTTCTCCAGAGCAAGCAGCTTATCTTTCACTCCTTAAAATCTTTAGCTATGGCACATACCTTGACTATACCAGCGACTCCTCTCTCCCCACTCTCTCCTCTGCCCAAACCCTTAAACTTCGCCAGCTCTCCTTCCTCACCCTTGCCAAAAGCCCGTCCGACTTGACCTACCCAAAACTTCAGTCTGCGCTTTCCCTCTCCACTCCCCGCGACCTCGAAGATCTTGTCATCAGCACCATATATGCCGGTCTCATAACCTGTACTTTGGACCCTTACAACCAAACTGTGCTCGTCTCATCCATCTCTCCCCTCCGCGATCTTCCCCCCTCTACAATACCATCCATGTTATCTACCCTCTCAGCGTGGTCAGCTCGTTGCACCACGACGCTTTCGTCCCTCGAATCGCAAATCGCGTCCATCAAGGCCGAAGCCCAGCGCCGTCACCGCGACGAAAAAGAATGGAACGCCCACGTCGCATCCCTCCTCGAAACGCCCCCTCCAGCAGAGCCTTCCACTGAAAGGGCAGGTATCATGAGTAGTCTACATAGTTTGACGGGCAAAATGACGAAATCGTCTGGAAAGCGCAATGCCACATTAGAGAATCTTGGTAGTGATGAGGAAATGGATGATGTAGATTCGATAAGTGGTCAGCAGATGAAAGATACCCGAAGTTCGAAGAAGAGAGGTTTTGGCGGGTTAGGATTTGGGAAGTGAGTTGTTCCGCTATCAGAGCCTAGAGCTTGTGACTAGTGGGACTTTTCACTGACCAATCTCTTAGCTCAACAGATACCGGCTCAACAGATGCCGACTCAACACGCCTCTCACTCGCTTTGGATCGTATATTGGATCATGAGAGTATGTGATTGCATTAGCAAAAGGCTTTCCATATGTAGTCCCTCGGATATAACTCAATTCTTTTTGGTTGAGAGGATTGGGGGCGGCAGGGATCAACAAAAGACTACAAGATGGCGTACGGAAAGGGAGAAATCGACATCGACGGCACATTTTCACGCATGTTTACTTAGGTTAGGTATGTCCTCAGATGAAGATAATCATACATTCAATGTATGCAGGAAGAGGATATCAAAAACCGCCCTATTAGCTTCCATCCATACAAATAAAAAGTAAAGAAAAAGAAGAGAAAACGGTCATCAAAAGGCCCTTCAGTTCCCCGTTCTGTCCATAGAAAGACATCCAGACTTTGAGAAAAATCAAATAAAAAAAAAGAAATTTCCTCCCAAATAAATAAAATCAGTCAAGTCAAGTCAACGCCAGCAAATCAACGTGTGATATCTTCCTGCCAGTCGATCCCTGTGTACAAAGTCCCAAATCACTTTATATGAAAGAGAAAATTTGTCTCCAGAACACCTCGCTCTATAAACACAAGTCCCAAATTGCCATTCATTCCTTCCTTCCTTCTTCCTCCCTGACTCCATGCTCTATTTTTAGGTCTTTTCATGCAATTTTGCAACTGCTATCTATAGTGTTTTGCTTGGCTTCCTTCTACACATCTTCATATTTACAATCTCTTGCCGGGCACTAAGACAAATATTAAGACTAGTGCTGCGTCTGTTATGGCTGTGACCATGAGGACCATGAGTGCTCGTTTGTTGAGAAGCCTTTTGACAAAGGGTTCCCTGATCTTGGAAAAGGACATGAATGTATATTCACTGTATCCAGCCAAGGCAAGAATAGGATCGAGTGCATATTGGTGAGAACAGAGTGCATAAACACCAACTGTGAAAGGAATGATGAGCTGGAAGTATGTAAGTATCAAGATAGGAAATGTAGAGATAGATTGGTGAATACATACCCAGACACGAGTATGGTGGGGATAGTCCAGAAAGATTAGAATGAATCCAACCCAGAATGCAGCAAACATAGATAGCAAACCAACGATGAGTCTTAACATCATTGAAGGAGGAACTAGATTGCCCAAAGCTTTCATTCTTAGAAACCCTGGGAAAGCATCACGTTCCATTGCTTGGAAAACGTAATCCTTGGCTGCATCAAAAACTTCTGGGTCATCACGTCCCCGCTCTTCAATAGAAATCGTAATATCTTGGGTAATGGCATGAGGTAAAATGATCTCACGCTCAGCACCTGGAAGCAGAAAGGTATATAGAATCTTTTCGGCAGATGCTCGAATGTCAGCTCTTGCGACAGTGTGTGCAGGGGAGTTTGAATCTGAGGTCAATTCCAATGGACTGCTCATAAAGCTGGGTCTAGGCCTTTCGCTAGACATGTTTCCGAGGTTGTGACCCGAATTGGAGCCTATACTATGAGAAGGAGAGTGTCCCTGTGGAGCCACAACTTCTCCAGTATCAGATTGTTCTCTAAGGAAAGCCGACATCTGAGCATCTTGATTTTTCTCCTTTTCTGTGTTGAACATGGACGGTCCAGCAGCTGGATGATTCATCTCGCCCAAATTTTCTAGAACAGCGGAGGATCGTTTAGACTGCGCATCATCGCCTTTAGGTGTACCAATCATTACAGATCTCCGCAATTCTCGTACGTAGTGTCGGCATAACGACATGTGTTGAGCAACATCAAGCCTGTCCTTGAATTAGTGATTGAATTGAACAATTTAATGCAAGGAAGACAAACCAAAAATCGAGATAATCAACAGAGCGCTGCTGATCTCTCATATAAATGTAGAATGAGAATAGATCTACCGGGGGTAAAGTCCTTCTACTAAGCACCTCGAATAGTGTAGGAAGTCGATTCCGATTCAGATCGGGCTGAGGAGAGTTGATTCCTGCCATGGCGATGACGACAGGGTGGGAACTGAGCTGTTTGAAAGGCAAGGGGAGTTGAAGTAAAAGGGATTGCTCGAAGTATTGATCCTGATTCTACAAGGAGTTCTTGATTTGTTGTCGCAGATTGTTGTGAAGTTTGTTGTTGGGCTAATGGAATGAAAAAAAAAAAAGGATCGGAAAGAGCGTCGAAAGTCGGGTAAACCAAAAGAGAGTGAATAGGACGTGATGAAACCTTAAAATCTGAGAAGCAGTCTTAGGTATGCAACACTTTGAATTAAATCTGAAGTCATATAAGTTATCGGCGTCGTCCCACTCAATCTGCCGACGACCTGCAGCGTAGGTAGCGTGGTTGTTTTGGCTGCAATACTGTCGCCTTGTTATTATGTAATCATTCACAAGGCATCAATAGTGGCTGCGAAATTTTCGGTTAACTAGCGCCTTCCACACTGAGGAAATTTCGAAATTCTTAGACTGCATTACTGAAGCTCAGACAAGACAACTTATCACGACAAATCGCGACAAATCCTTCAGTACGTTGATTTAACTCCTAGCCGAATCAATCGAAGATCAAAATCGAAGTCTCTCGATTCTAACAAAGAAATTAGAAATGTCGACGACCACCAAGAAGACCGGCGGCAAGACCCAAAGATCCGCCATCGCTGATGTTGTTGCGCGCGAGTACACCATCCACTTGCACAAGAGAGTATGTCGAAATTGCGGAAAAACAGGGATTCGAAAAAGGGCGAAGGACTGATTGTTTCGTTTTAGTTACATGGTGTTTCTTTCAAGAAGCGTGCCCCAAAGGCCATCAAGGAGATTAAGGCATTCGCTACTTTGTCAATGGTATGGATATCTATCTAGAAGGATCGACAGAAAATACAGCAAGGAGAACCATACTGATGTTGGTATTTTCTTAAATTATAGGGTACCTCCGATGTTCGTCTCGACCCCCAATTGAACAAGAAGGTCTGGGAAGCTGGTATCAAGGGTGTTCCTTTCAGACTCCGTGTACGAATCTCGAGAAAGCGTAACGATGAGGAGGGCGCCAAGGAGAAGTTGTACAGTTACGTTCAGGCCGTCAATGTCCAAAACCCCAAGGGTCTCCACACTGTTGTTGTAGAGGATGCATAAATGATCAAAATCAAATGGCATGGGGGTATTTCTGGAGTTGCTGCATTTCTGCTTGCTAAGGTAGTGGAAAATGAAAAGGTCTAGCTTTCGATACCTAAATGCAGCCACTAGCTATGGGAAATATTCTCATGCACTTGTGATATTGGTCTGTGATATGAGGCTGGAAAAGGCAGCTGGGTTCTTTCCAAGGAGCCGGGGAGGTAGCGCTTCTTCAGGAAATGCAAATGTGCAGCGGAAATACCATGCGACTACCTCTGGGTTATTGGGGCATGCAAACAAGTGATGCATCAGACACTCCCCGGTATCAATTCTGCGGGCTTCGCAGTTTTTACATTTCGTTGAGCATAGGAATCTTCAAATCTTGATATCACTTTACCAGACTTTCGTGCATCATCATCTGATTGTTCTGTCTTGTCTCTTCTAACACGAATCACATACGCCAAAGCGATTCCACTCCATGTGCGATATCGAGTCGAGCATTGGCAAGAGTGTCGGAAGCGCCGAAAGTTTTATGGATGTAGAAACCCAGTTGCCCTAGAAACCTGTGACCTAATGGCTCAAGAGTGAGTCTGTTACTAAGCGTAAAAAGACAATTTGGAGATCAATCCTCATTAAGGTGTCGTCATTTCGAAATGGATTACATGAAGAAAGTCTAGACTATGTCATGCACATCAAGTAGATTTCAAGGGTATTCAACAATGCGTTTGTTTTGTATTTATTGAAAGACCAAAATAAGGATACAGCCCCCGAAGTCCCATTGAGACGCCCTCCTTTAATATCCTGAGAATGCAACAACAACCCATTAATCGAGCTGAGACATGGACAGCAGTCCATTATGCATAATCTCCAATTCATAAACATATTGACGCCGGGTATCTGAATGACGATGTTCACCCTCCTTTTCTAGAAAAATTATTCATCATCAATGTCCTGGTGACGACCATTGACTTTCTTTTGGAACTCCTCGGGGTTCTTGTCCCATAACTCTGCGGCCTCGCCGTTCAATGGTGATGCACTGTCGATGTATGTTAGCCCGGCTTAGACACTCAATCACACATCCCAACATGAATTAACATACTTGTTTGGCTCTCCCAATAGACTTTGCAAACTCAACAGAACTGTCTGGATGTTATAAGCAGCTGTCCATTTGTCCTTTAAGATATCCAAGCAAATTCGACCAGAGAAATCGACGTTAGGGTGATAGATAGGTGTCTTGAAGAGCACGGTTGGTGGTGCATAGGGATAGTTGGATGGGAAAGCAAAGGATAATTTGAATTTCTTAGAAGCATATGGAGTATCATCAGGTCCGTCGATAGTGGCGGTCCAGGAAAGAAGATTCCCGTCTGCGGAAGGAAATGCGGAGATACCAGGTGCTGCAGAGGTCATCAATTGCATCAACTCGGTTTGGAGACTTTAGTATAGAATTGTATTAGTATTGGATATTTTGGCAAGCTGTATTTGTGAAGGGGTTGAGTATAGAAGTAGACTTCGTACTAACCGTTTTGTGGTGCTTTGAGCATCAGGACCTTTGCGAGGAGCAATTTTGGCAGCTTGAGCGGGTGGAAGATCTCCAGGCGCGGAATTCTGAGTATCCTCCATGGCGTAGTTCATGATGATTTTGAAAAGAATAGGAAGCACAAAAGCCCTAATTAAATAACTGAGTAGGTAACTAAGAAGTCGACAGCTACTGGTACTAGTGTGTAAGGTTGACAGAAACGGACAAAAATGGTTTAGCTGATGGGAATGTAAATAAAAATTCTGAAAGCAATTGTGTAGAAGAAGCAAACGGTGTTCTGGAAGATCAAATCTAGACAAAGGATTCTTCGACTCTTGTTCTTTGATGAATTATTATTTGAACTGGGAATTTGTGAAGGTGGTGAATGTACAAAAGTAGTGTGAGTGTGAGGTGAAATAGAAAATGTATTTATGTTACTCGAGTAGGGACGTTGAAGTTTTGGGAGGGTCGTAGTGGATTTGTTTATTTCGCTTTTCTGTTCTAGGCAGACAGAGGTAGCCATAGAAACGCGAGTGGGCTGGATGGTAAGTCACTAATTTTCGCGATTCGCGACTTAAAGTGCTTAGAAAGGAACGGTTAATTGAAACTCAGACGCGATTCAAAACACCCTGTGGCAATAACTTTGATTGGTTTTTAGAGAAAGCTTCAAAAATTCATAGTTTCCATCTTACTTTATTGAATATCGAAAGAAGTTTATATTTTTGGAAATTTCCCCTTCTTGTGACATCGACATAGCATTCGTTTTTCTATATTTGTATTGTGGTGGTGGTCTTCAAGAAATTCCGCGTTCGTCCATTCTTTACTTCGTTTCCAGCAGCTAAAGATATGGCGGCAATGCAGATGTCACAGATGGACCCGCTGCCCCGCGACCTACCTTTTCGAATAATTTCTAAAACGATAGGTAGAGGTGCCTACGCATCGTGAGTCCAAAATAAGACTATTTGACGGTCTTTTGCTATACAAACAGTCATATATTTATATACTAATAAATACTGTAGAATCAAGAAAGCCATTCCTCCAGCCGACCCTACTCCGGTATTCGCAGTCAAATTCATACATAAAGCTTATGCTGTCAAACATGGCCGAATCTCCTCAAAGCAAATTGCCATGGAGGTGTCGTTACATTCCCATATTGGACGGCATCCGAATATTATAGAGTGGTTTGCGACAGGTGAAGATGCTGTATGGAAATGGATAGCCATGGAATATGCGGAAGGAGGGGACTTATTCGACAAAATCGAAGCGGATGTCGGAGTCAAAGAAGACATTGCACATTTTTATTTCACACAGTTGGTTAGTGGAGTAAGCTATATGCATGCGAAGGGTGTTGGGCATCGAGATATTAAGCCCGAGAATATACTATTGTCGAGCAGTGGTGATTTAAAGATTGCGGATTTTGGGCTGGCGACGCTATTCGAATATAATGGTGCGAGAAAGCTTAGTACGACTATGTGTGGTAGCCCTCCATATATAGCCCCAGAAGTAATATCTTGTTCTAAGAGTACTCAAACGAAGGTGAAAGGAGCAGGATATGCTGCAAACATGGTGGATATCTGGTCATGCGGGGTCGTATTATTTGTGCTCTTGGTGGGGAATACACCTTGGGATCAACCTACGGCCGAAAGTTGGGAATTTGATGAATACATTAAATCAAATGGACGAAGTTCAGATGAATTATGGCGAAGATTGCCCGCTTCAGTTCTATCATTGCTACGAGGAATGATGAATGTGGATGCATCCAAACGCTTCAATTTTGAACACATCAAACGACATCCGTGGTATACACGGAAGAATCCACTTCTCACAAAAGACGGCAAAATGAGCGATCCATTGGGTCTTGCCACTCAGATGTTGGCAAATCTTCGTATCGACTTTGAGCAAAAGCCTAGCGCGTCACAGCTCAGTCAAGATGCAATGCAAATTGACAGTCATAAATTTTCATTCACTCAACCGGAGACACAGGTGATGGATATGCAATTTGATTGGGAACGACCACCACGTGTATTACCTACATCTCAACCTACCGAGGCCATCACTTGCAAGTTCCAACTTCCATCGCCAGCTATATCTAATTTTGGAGATGCTACACTAGCTGATGAACCTTCCATGTCTCAATTCTCCTCCAATCCTGCAGTATCCCTCCGTCTTACGCAACATGCTCGCCAATTTCAAGATATTCTCCCTAATTACTCGCTTACGCGATTCTTTTCACATCTCCCCGTTCCTCAGCTGTTAACTCTTTTATCCGATTCTTTACATGCGATGAACATACCCATACCACCCTTATCCCAACTGCAAAGCAGTCAACTGCACGCGGCGTGGGTCAAGGTACGGGCGGTGGATAGTAGAAGATGTGGCATGAATGGAGAAATTGTTTTGGATACTTATGAAACAGAGGACACAGAGTTAGTAGAAGTGCGGTTTGTGAAGGTTAAAGGGGATCCGTTGGAGTGGAGACGATTTTTCAAAAGGGTAGTGGTGGCGTGTAAGGATGGAATCTATATACCTTCTGTCGAGGATGCGTGATGAGTGGTGTTGGGAAAGATTGATAGGAATTTGGAGTATGGATGCGGATGGTTGTATAGGGAATGTGAATAAGGGGAATCAACGAGCTATGATATATGAATTGTTTAGGATAAGGAGGGGCATTGGATGTTAGGGAGGCCTGGGTAGCCGGTATGAAAGGACCATAGACCATGATATCCCATTTTACATCATGACTTTACGTCGATAGATTCTTTGTCCATATTTTTTAGTTAATCTTAATGTTTCTTTTTCTATCCACCATTACCCATTATGGAATCTGGTGTTGCATTCTGAGCTTTTACGGACGATCTGGACATTCCCAAAATCCCGAATATTAAAATATTCATAGATAGTCCGTTGAATACTTAGCAAATCATTCAGATTATTAATAATCCGCTGAATACTTGTACAGTTATTTCACTGCTAATATTTAAAGCTTATATATAATAAAGTCGAATCTAGAATATTTATACGGAGTTATGTTGACAATATCCCTGAACTTTATTTGGCGGGGTGAAGGGAACGTGGACGGGACGAGAGGGGCCTATTTCATGCACAGACCCTTTGCCGAGCTATGCATAATCGGTCGGCCTTATCGGCTGGAACTAGAAGCTTATGATGTTGATTAATCTAATAAATTGATGGACTAATGGATTAATGGACTGTGATTTCGAATCTCAATATCAATCAACCTTTGGATGTTCAAGTTTCTTTCAATTCATACCTACTTCTTAATTTCAATATACCTTCGACAGTTGGAAAATGGCAAAAATGGACGATCTTCCTTCAGAAATCATTCTCAATATTACTTCATGTGATTATACTCCGCATAGCTTTCATAAATTGACAAATGCTAACATTATTTCCTTCAATAGATCTAGAACCTTCAGACATCGTCAAACTACAATTCGTTTCCAAACGATATTTAGAACTTGGTCGCGATGACACTCTCTGGCGAGAACAATGTTTCACGCATTCCTCATTTCTCGACAAGCTCCGCAGACGTCAAGAATTAATATCTTCCGAAACCGAAGACGATTCCGGAATGCGTGAATTAGCCATAGCTCTCGCTACGAACAATGGAACCGGCGATTCGAGATTGCATAAACCTCGTCAGGAAGCGCGAGACCTGAGGAGTAAAGCAAACGAGAGGATTAGAATATTGGCGAATTGGGATCCGAGTTATCCTACGGAGAAGGTTAAGTGGTATGATGAGTATATAGCGAGAAATGCGCCGATTTCAACTAGTTGGTTGCAGCAACCTCGTCATCGCGAAAGTGCTAGTCGTGAACATTTGGAGGTGCGGGGAATGGCGGTGTATACACCCAAAGGAGATACTCGAGCTACTATGGTTGTTGCGTAAGTATCCGTGTTTTTACTTCCTTATACTTGAGAAGGGTCCTGACGGCGATATTGTAGACCTCTTGATGATGGTTCCATTTGTATTTGGGATATCGGTGCGAATGCCTCTCGAAAAGGCAGCATTGTCGCAAGAAGCAAGTCCGGGATTCTGGCGGAGAGTGGAAGGTCACAGGATCTTAAGGCAAGGTCAAAGATGATAAGTACAGGTGTCACAGAATGTATTAGTGTTGACAGTACTCTAAAGAAAGCCTATGTTGCTGTTCAAAGTGGTATGTGATACTTCTACTTTCAGCTATCATGGTTCTCCCAAGCAGTACATCTTTACTTATGTCCGTAATGTACCTACGGAGGCCTAGATATCGCTTTCCCTAGCGTCTCTATTACTGACTGACAATGTTACAGGTCTGGTTGAAGTTGATCTCGAGACCTTACAGACGGTAAACCATGAAGCATATCCATTTTCTATCACTGCTCTCTCTGAAGCAAAACATCCGACACCCTTGACTGTGGGAACCAATCTATCTCTCTATCTTCATGATTCTCGTCAAAGAGCAAACGTTGGATCGCCCAGCCAAATAGAACGACTTGATTCTTTCAAAGTCACATCTGGCTCTACAGACAAGTCGTTTAGTTTTAAAAGCTTGCTAAACCCAGAGCCAAGCTCCGATTACGCTCACCTATATCAACCGGGGCCACTAAGTATTGTGCATCTGCCCAGTTCGGGTGATGACTGGAATGGTAATGGAGATATTTACGTTGCTGGACGATTTCCTAGCATTCTGAATTATGACCGTAGAAATTTTCCCAAGCTTAGAGGAACTATTCATTCTGGTGCACGATTATCTCAAATTGCTACGCTCCCATATCCCTTTGCATCGATGGAAAAGGACCTCGCCCGTCGGGGTGAACTTTCCGTTGAGCAGGTATGGAAAGCTAAGACTAGACCAGGCAAAACCTTGATTGCTTGCGGTGAGTATAATAGTAAAGGTTCGCTGGAGATGTATGGTCTTTGTTCTGATCCAAATCTTTCCACTATATCTTCCCAGTTCTCCGCGGGGCGGCTGCAAGATTCTACTATGAAGAATCGTCAAACATCATCCAGCTCAAAACTGTTATCTGTTGCCAATCACGGTACCCGCATTGTTGTTTCTGACGGAGGGGGTAACCTGAAGTGGTTCGAAAGGGATGGATTCACCGAGTCCCGAAGATGGAATATTGCTCATGGTTCCGTCGAAGCGCCAAGGGGCATATTTGGCACATTGGGTGACTCTTACATGGATTCAGGATCTGGAGACATCGCGATCAAAATTCAGACAACTGACTCTGGGATCGACGAACGGCCCGTCAACGAAAATGATCTTATTTTGTGGACAGGAGACAAAGTAGGGCTGTTAAATTTCTCTAGCAAACCTGGTTTCACAGCCGACTCTTTTGAAGATACTCCCAAAACTGCCGAGGAGGCTCTTCAAGAAAAGGAAGAGCGTACCCACGCGGCGACCATGAGAAGAGCACTGGAGATGCAGGCAAATGAGGTCAGGTACGTGAGAGGTCTAGGGCTAGGATTTGTGTGACATATTTAGCGGGTTCTTCCCAAACATTTCTTCAATAATGTTCACACTCCAGCTGGACATTTTGAAAGGTAGTCAGGGCCAATCTTCCGTATATTCTTGCTGTACAACAACAAAATGGGCACAGTACATACAGATTATTCTCGATCTTTAGACCATTTGATATGGTCAGGCGGTATCTCCCAGCACAGCAGGGAATCGTGATGCACCCTGTGATACGGGGCCAAGTTCCTAGGGCCACAATTCGTGAGATGTTAACCACAGCTTTCTCAAAAGGCTCTAATTACTAAATGGTGAAGATTGGCAGTACTTGTATGCCGATCGGAGAATAAGGCTGTACGATATCACGGAGTCCTTGCTCGATGGAACTCAATCTGCACTGCAAACGTGTGAGATGAAGTTTGTAGTTGTAGGGTAATGTGGCGGGTTGCTGGGGTACATCTTCAGTAGGTTTTATAGAATCGGACGTCAAGCATCTTTTACCTTGGCATTACCATTGCATGGAATTTTCGAGGATTCTGGACCAGTGGAGACAAATTTCGGATGAAGATCATGTATGTATCTAATATTTTTCGGGTCATTTTTTTTTAAATGGTTTTGAATGGGTTTGAATGATAGCCTTGTTACTCGGATATGCGGTCGTATTGGTCATATACATTAGACTTATTGGTCTGTTGTGACTAGCCCACCAGGCCTAGCTTCCTCTCGCACTTACATATATTTTTCATAGGGCGGTACAACTTTAATTATTTATCATCGAGGCAAAGTTGCAGAGAAGAGTTCTGGATGGTGGCGATAAAATGAAATAAATTATTGTCTAACATTTTGTGGTCTGGTAAAGTTCGGTTAGAAAGATTTAGAAAAAGTGTAAGATTGATTTCAGGCCTATCAGTTCAAACGAGGCGAACGATTCGGCAACCAAGATCAGATTAAAGTTACATTAGCGTCAGGATTCAGGAAATTGTCTTTGGGTTAGAGTACGGAGTGAGGGTAAGAGTAAGAGTAAGAAGAGTAAGAGTAAGTAAGTCTTAGATTCTTCCAAGTATTATTATTATCATTATTATTATTTATGGACTAATATAATAAACTTGCTAACTTTTAACTTCTATCTAGGTGTGTAGGGGTTCTTAGTAGCAAACGCCTAGGTAGTAAGTAGTAACATGTAAGTAGTCTTCACACTCCTTTATACGTTGGTTTACCCTATACGGAATAGGGAGTGGTAGAGATGACCTAGGTACTCGACTATGCTTACCGACTGCATGCTGTATACTCTCCAACTCTGCCCTCTACCTCTACCCTCTGCACTGTACAACGAATCTTTTCTTGATCACCCAGCCGCTGCACACTGCACATATTGATGAACACGGGCCAAGACGGTACTAGGTACTCCCAGGTTGCGTTTCATCGACCCTGTTAATCCGTTAACTGTACGAAACGTATCTTTTCTGAATCTTACACATGAGGCGAGGCGGTGTGTAACTTTCTAACTGCTCTGCTTGGGGGTTTCGGATCGCCCGTTGTCACCGCACACGCAACACACGCACAGCACAGCACCGCACAGCGCAGCACACACCCAGAAAATCCCCAACTAAAATTCGACAACCTTGGAAAAAGTTTCCGCAAAATCCGTTCATCATTAATCAACGATTCGCAACCAAGTGAAAGGAATCGTTGACATTTAAAAAGGATTATGGTTGTTGTTGGATCCCTTTCTCCGCCTCTGACGTTTCTTCCCACTTATCAATTAACCTCAAGGTATATGTAAAACTTTTTGGCAAGCACATTCATTCCCACATCCCATCATTGCCAAAACATTTTCTCCCAGCCTCACTCATCCCATTGTTTTGGGGATAATAAAATCACGAAAAAGCGAATCCATAGTGTCATTTCGTTTTCCTTATGTACTTCAAGAGCTCTGCATCTTGGAAGCGGTGACAGGGCTAATTCAATATTAACCCGAGTAAGCCTCACTGCACTGTGCATGCGTCGTGTGGCATATGCAGCTTCTCATAGTAGTGTGAGCTTTGTCCAAAAATAATATACACCGGCTTACTTTCCACTTCCTCCTAAGGTCACCAATTTTGTATTTCGTCCGTTTTTTTTTTCCTTATTCTTCATGGCTACTGCTTCCGTCAAAAGAAGCGCAAGTACGGACAGTAAAAGGTCACACTCGGGGCACCGCTATGAAAAAGTTGCTGCCAAACTCCGAGATCCTCGTTTGCAGCGAGAACGATGTAGTCCGGGTGCTTCACAACTTCGGCCTCCTACCCGACCTATTTTGCAGTACCATCAACGGACACCCACCGCAATGAAAACACCAATCCCATGTTTTCCACCTCCGTCGCCGCCTGTTGATATTTACGTCGCTCCGACCATGGAACGAACGCTTTCCGGACATTCGATAGTCTCGGATCACAATATTTCAATGCCTCCTCCTGTTATCCACGACCACACAATATTGAGTGACGATCAAGCTGCGAATCTCATCGAACATCACTTTCGATACGACCCACCTCCAGATCATTATTACTTGGAGGTCGAACTCCAAAATCTTCTCCTCAAAGCTCATTTATCCGATCGTGCAATAGACCGTATCATCTACCTAGTCGATACAATATTTTTCCACAATTCACTCCACAACCGCGTCCGTCTCTCTTGGTCCTCCCCCGAACAACCTCGCTACTCATCCGAACTCATCGGCACCACTGCTCTACGTCTAGCTTCCTTTGGTGGTTTTGAAACCCTAATTGTTTTATCTGAACCCATTTTAAGAGATCCTAAATACGATAGGGAGATTACTGTTAAGTGCTTTATTTGCATGAATTAGTTCATTGTTATTTATTTGTAAAATGTGGGCTGGGGAAGCTAAACAGATGGGGGGTCACACGGACGGGTTTCATCGTGTCGTAGGAGTTATCGATGCGTGGGTGGAGAGGTGGATCGGAAGAGATTGGCTGAGATTGTGTAGTATGAGGGCGAATTTGGAATTTTTTAGAGTGCACACGGAGGTTTGCGTACCGCTAAGTCGGGGAGTAGGCGAGGAGCGGAGAACGAGCGCATGGGAAGATAATGGGAATGGGAATGGAAATGGGGAGGTGAGAGAGAGGGAGAGATCGTGGGGAATACATCACCATGGACATCATCGCCATTCGGGATGCGGACAGAGTCCTGGACCGGGAACGGAACGCGCCTTGAGGTTTTCGCGTGATTTTATCCCATATGTTGGTGATGAGGAGGGATTTCGATAATACATTTCGTCTTTGTGCGTATTTAAAAGAGGTGGGAATATGGCGGTTCGCTGGTCTACGTTTTTTTTTTCCCCTTTTCTCGGTGATCTTTGCAACGACTCGGGTCCTCTTTCTATCCTTTGTTTGTTTTGTTTCTCATCATCCTCATACGGATCACGATTGATTTTAGCGCGGCGAAAGGAAAGGCCATATTTTAAAATTATCAATTATTATTAGTATTAGCATCGATGGATGGGGTGGGTGGGGTGCATTTAGGAGGCGTTGGATTGGGATTTTTTTTTTCGAAGTATGGGCGGAATGGAATATCTTGGTTTCGGTGGATGGGTTGGCGGGTGGGTTATGATATTGATGTTTTTTTGTATTTTTTTTTTTTTGTATTGTATATTTTTAAAAGTTAATGGTTTGATTGGGATGATTCGGTATGGGATTGGGACTGGATGTGTTGGGATTGCATGGATTGGCATGGGAGGAGGGTTGATTTATATTCTATGATTGCATTGAGGGGGAAAGATGGAATGATGAATGGATGGATAAATGATACGTCACTATATCATATCATATCGTATCATTATATTATGAATTTTTATTAAGAGGGAGGGAAGAGATATTGATATAATTACTCACTTCAAGTTGTTGTTACGAGGTTTGCCGTCTAGATCACGTGGAAGTGCTCTAGGCTCTCGAGGTGGTTTATAACTAGGCGTCAAGCAGGGACTTAAAGTAATGACAATAATGCAATTCGTAACTAATAGTAGAGTATACTAAATGATTGATCTTGAGCACGAAGCTCTATACAAAAGAAATCCATCTTGGTTATATAGACCTTCATGCTAATCGTCCCCTTGGTCCCCTCGGTCCCTTCGATCAAGAGACCGAGGGGATCTAAGGGACCATGTGATTACATAATTGGTCACATGATACGAGACCCGAAGCCGTCGTAACAAGTTTTTGTTTTGTTTTTAATAATATTAATTAAATATAAATAAAACACATAGATTTTAAATTTGAAAAAAAAATTAGAATATATTATATATATTGATTTGACTCGGAGTAGTTGAGAATATAAATGAGGAATTTATTTTTTGAATTAAATCTTTATAAATTTTATATAATAATATGTCTTTAATTACTAAAACAAAACAAAACAAAGCAAAACAAAACAAAACAATTGAGAATATAACATGAGGAATTTATTTTTTGAATTAAATCTTTATAAATTTTATATAATAATATGTCTTTACATTACTAAAACAAAACAAAACCAAAACCAAACCAAACAAAACAAAACCAAACCAAAACCAAAACAAAACAAAACCAAATCAAAACCAAACTCAAAACAAATCAAAACACAATCCAAACACAAATCAAGACCAAACTCAAACCGAAATCAAAACAAATCAAAACCAAATCAAAACAAATCAAAACCAAATCCAAAACAAATCCAAAACAAAACAAAACAAATCAAATCAAATCAAATCAAATCAAATCAAATCAAATCAAATCAAATCAAATCAAATCAAATCAAATCAAATCAAAAAAATAAAAAATTACCCACCTGGAACATAAAACCTAAAACCTCCCACCCATAGCCAAAACCTAACCCACTCCTCCCCCCACTGTGACGCCTCACACCTCCGGGTCACGTGGCATGCCCCGTTTGTATTTAATCATAGGAAAACTCTCTACTCTTGTTTTCCTTCTTCTTTTCTCCTTAGCTTAGTATTTTCTAATACAAGATACTTTACCCAGTATTCTTGAGTGTGACACCCGCCCAACATACCACCCCCTCACCCCCACCCCATCCCACTTCACCCCCGCAAACCCCTCCAAATCCGCCACCTTCGCCTTCCCCCCCACCATCCTCTTCCTCCCTCTAACCCTCTCCCCCCTTTCCTCTCCATTTTATTCCCATCAAGCTCATCCAACCACGCCATATTCCACGGCGTATTCCTACTCTGAGCTGTATACATACTTTTATAAGTATTTTTACGGATTTGGAGGGGATTTCGATAGGGGGTCGGGAGGGGGTGGTTGGGGTTGAGAGTGAGGTTGTTGTAGGGGGTGGGTAAGAGAGGGGGTTGTGGGTGGTGGGTTGG